ATGATATTACCATAGTTTGTACTAGATATTGAACCGGGCATAGCTGGGGTGGTAGTGTATTTTGTTGTTGTTGCTTCTGGCAAAAAGTAAAAGTCCTCATCCTTGGGCGCCGGTATAAAAATAGAGAATACGTTCCGGGAATGGAAAAAAAAAGTTTGAGAAAAATCGATGTCCGTAGTTGTAATGAGTCATAATGAGTCGCCGCCGCGCCGCCCCCCTTCCCGTCCTGTGCGTCTCCTAAGCGGCGCCCCATGAATCATATTTCAGGTCGATTGGAATTGACCATGAGGTCCTTATCACGGTTTTCATAAACCAACAATCGTTTATCAACAAGGAGGAAAAATAGGCATATATGGAAGGACTCGTTGAGACCGCGGTGGTATTTTCAATCGTTTACAAGTTATTTTTATCTTTTCAACCTTCTTTCAAAGATTAAACTTAAATCTAATTTTATTCCACACAAATTCTTTTTAAAATCACGACTAAAGTTGATTGCTTGCGTCTGTAGTATCTATTAAATGATTAAATTTTGCCTCTTAACTTCAATTATTGAATTATACTTGGAGATACTGTGTCTTGGTCACAACGGGTCATTAGCTCACACCTTCTAGAAGTCAAACCAAGGGAATACCAATTTTGACTAATCACATTATTTAACAACTACTTCATATTAAAAAAACTAAACAACATCAACCGCCTGATGAAACCTTAAGTAATTAAGCTTGTTTATTGCTGGTTGTACTTGCCCGTTTTTTGTCAGCATTTTTCGTTCCTGTCCCAAAGAAGGCGAACGTACTCGGGTACAAAATGAAAACAACTGATAACAATTGGTGCTTATGAAAATCATAAAAGAATTTTAACATTAATTTTTATTACTAATTGTTAACAGGTATAATTTAAGAGATTTCAATATCGGCTCGCTTTCGTTAATAAAAACTCTTTTTTGGGCTTTTTCTTGAAGACGTTTAAATTAATATATCTTTTCTGGAATATCGACCAAAAGTTTATATACTAACATTTTTTTTTAAAGCATCTATTTGTAATGTAGGTTCTAACCAGAAGTAAACTGTTTATGGGCCTGTTCGTGTACAACTTAGTGATGGCTCACCGAAGGTATGAAACGCAAAGAAGGGATCATGCTCACCCGTTTCAGATAGGCCATACCAGATTGACACATGGATCAAACCCCACGTAGATGTGCTTGTGGAGGAAGGTTGCTCATTGTGACATTTCGTCGAGGGGTGTCATGCCTTGGCCCCTTAGAGGGAGCGAGTAAAACATAGACAGTCCTTGAGCACGAAAGAGGGTTGTTGGGTCCCCTATTTAGATTTTTAAGGGTATCGGTGGTGTTCACTTGGCATTCGGGACATGAAGACAATGAGAAAGTGGACGTTGGCCAAAAAAGGATGCGATATGAACTCTCTATGCCCCGAACCCTATGCGGCCGTGTCACACACCTAGAAATGGATCCTTAATGAGTCCAAAACTTAGTGGTACAACACGGCACGCGAAGAGATTCCTAGAAGTGCCATCCGCAGGACTTACAGAGGAATTACTGGAAAGTAAGCTCAATAGAAAACGGAATTGTGGTTGGACTCCAGTCACCACTGTCGCATAAGTAGGAGTACAGACAGAAGAAATACTCAACAGATACTGCCAGGAAGAAGAGGATGTAGGTGCAGATTCTTGCAACTAGTAGAGGAAAAGCCTCAAACACAGGTTTTTTAGATTTTACACTAAGGAGCCGTTGGCAAGGCTACGGAAGGTGATTAACAAACTGAGTTGGCCAGTCTGTTATAAAAATAGAGGAGCACAATAGATCTGCTCAGGTCGAGGTGCAGAAGGCCTTGTGGCCGCCTCTTTTATCCCTATCCCCATCTGTAAATATTATAACTACTGGGTGTACGTTTATATTTGTTTGGGGAAATGAATAAATGAGAGGACCGTGACAGAAAATTGAGTACCCGGCTATGGCGCTCAGTGTGTTGGAGGGAGGTCCTATGACTCTTGTCAGTAGGTAGACTAAAAAAAAAACAGTTTAATTACTGAGTTTTAGGTTATTTTATTACATACTATTCCTTTAGATTAGATTTTGCAATTATCTTGTAAGCAATATTCTTTTTTCCCAATTAGAAATTGAGTAATAATTAATTAAATTGTTGAAAGGAATCAAGATTTGCCGATGTTATTTCATCTTTCCGTTATCTTTTTAAACAATGGTTTTACTTTTATTATGTATTTTATTTGTTGGGGATCCATATATAATTAATTTTTTTTTTTTTTTTTTTTTTAAAGTTTAGCTCTTTCTTTTTTGCCTCCAATGTAAGAGTTGACTGAAATCGTTTATTTACTCCTGACGGCACGTAGACTTAAAACTAGCAACCCGTATAGAGGGGAAAGTAGAAGTACCACTAGACTTTGTTTGTCTTGCACCTTTTGTCTACCTTGATCAAACATTTCTTTAAAGTAAAAGATCGTCCCTTGACTGATAAAAACTTCTGTTAATTAAAGACCGTTACATCCTAGGGTTTTGAATGTAGAAAGGGGAACTGTGGTGAAATAGGTTTCCACGGATATTCCTAGGTAAAAACGTCGTGGCGAAAAAAAAGAAAGAAAAAGAAGGAAAGCTAGCATTATCCAAGTCACCCTCGCTTTCTACACTGAGCCAGAAAACTCGAATGCCGTCGGATGCATGACAAATGTCAAATGCATTCACATTTGAAATGTAAAATAAACATGAGGTATTTAAGCTCGTTTGTTCAGTTGGAACTTCTTAGCTAATAAATGTGTACATCGTAATTTTGAACAGGTTGAAAGATTTCGACTTCCTTTCCTTTCCTCGAAAGGCTGACTCCTAATTTTGAGTCATATTTCCAGATAAAAACGTGCTCACGTTGCAAGCACTATCTCAATCTGCCCAATTGTCTTGAAGTCAAGAGAATTGACCGACGCTCGTAAAATTTGCAAACTTGACCTCTTTGATAAGTTTTACGTCCTCTACTCGTGAATCTTGTCTGAATTATTTCAAGAATCCGCTTTGCCTTCATTGGCAACGGTTGCATTAATAATTGTAGTGTTTGTTTATTGTATCATTCATTTTTTTTCCTCGTGAAGAACAACACAAAAGTGTATCCATCCCATTACAAGATCATTTACGCCCTATGTTAAATTATTAAAAGTTAAATAATTTTCAAATGAACTGGATCACGGTATGGTCTTGAAAAGACAATTCAATTGTTTCTGCCAAGCTTTTAACTCGTTTTAAGGTTCAACAGGGCCAAACAATCTTTGAAATCTGTCTGCGAATTGACATAATTAAATTTTTAATAGCTGATTTCAAATTTCTTCAAAAAACCAACTTAGTCCCAACGTTGCCAATGGCTGAACTTACTTGGCAATAGTAATGGGATTACTGTAATGGTTGTTACACTCCTTGGCAGTGTTGGAACAGAATCTTACCCCAAAGAAATTTGAAATATGTATCTTAACTGTGTAGACTATTTAATATTGTTTTGCCCTGATCATCTTAAAATAGATCGAAAGCTTGGCAGTAACGATTGAATTTGTTTTTCCATCAAGACCTTTTTTTTTATTTATTTCATGAAACTAATTTTACTAGTAATTTACATTAGGTCTAAACTGAATGGTTCAACATACCATAAACAACCTTCTAATCAACTGTTAACTTAAATATGAAAATTTTGAACCAAAAGAAGTCAGTTTAACTGTTTGGAGTTGTGCTTTGTTTAAGGCCTTACATTTTTAATTAAATAAAAATATTAATGTGTAATCAATTTAAAAAAAGATCAGAGATAAGGCTAGAATCATATTTATATTTAGCTATCTGCGATGAAATGTTAAATTTCTTTGTAAGTGAAGAGGACCTCACTGGTCTGATATCCATGAGGCGGAAAAGGGATGTATGTAAGAGTTGTATGGTGGGGCTTAAATGAGATAATCTACTGTCCTTCATTGTGTGTAGGAAGCTGGGGAGAGATAAATTATTTTCCTTTGGCATGCATCCTATTTTCCTTAAAAATTTCGCTTCGATTAATTATTAAGGGAACATCATAATAGAAATAAATTTTTAAAAAATGCCAATATTTGTTTCTTAATGAATTACATACTTTATTTTTCTCTTCTTAATATATTAACCTGGAGTTGTTTAATTCTTTAATGTAGTCATTTTAAAAGTAACATTGCTTACAACACAAACAAATTAAAAATATTAATATTTTCAATTTTTATTGTACAAATCTTGTCTAATGTATTAAGAAAATTTAATTTCTGTTAAATAATTAAAATCATAATTTTTGTTTTGAAAAAATTTCAACTACAGTTAAAACTGTATTTGCCAAATACCATTTGAGGGCAATGACCCCACTGTCCTACAGGAAAGGGTGATTTTACCTTGGAAGGGTTGTTCAACCCCTTGAGCCTGTTGCCATGACTATATTACAGCCACACCCAGTTATATTGTATAAACATTTATATATTTATTCATTTGCATACCCTCAAATTAATTGTAAATTGTCGAGTAAAATGGTAAATTTACCTAATTTTATTTTATCATCAAATCTCGGTTTTTCACTTTAGTTAAGTTTAAATTATAGGAAATTATCAGATTGCAATCAGATGCAGGTGTTCTTCCTAGTGTTACAATCAGCATTTTTTTCCCTCCAGGAAAACTAATTATTTTATTTTAAATATTCATTCTTTGCCTAGTGGAGGCACATCATTCAATTGAATGTTGAAAATGGTTTTTAAAAATAACTCAAGAAGGGAATTTATTTAAATTATGTATATGAATAGGCAGGGGTTAAATATTCTTTTCTTCTTACATGTTACCTTGAGGAAAAATACCAAAAATGAAATATCAGTTTTTAAACTCAGGGAGTTTAAAATAAAAAACATCTGCCATTTATATCTCCCTTCTCATTAAGGAACTAGTTCAGAATCCATTTTCAGAATTGTTATTTATTTATTTTTCTTTGTTTCAGAATGTAGACCATAAGACAAAGTTTAAGTCTAAGAAAGGATTATTACCTTTCATTGAATTAAATGGAGAAGAAATAGCAGATTCTGCTGTTATCATTAAAGAGTTAGGACAAAAATTTGGCAAAGACCTTGATGCCGGATTAGACAACAACCAAAAAAACATCTCGCATGCTATGATTTCAATGATTGAAAATCACCTATTCTGGTATGTACATATTATTATAATATAAATGTAATATATATTTCAATACTTACAATATATTATATTCCAGGGTTGTAATGTGGTGGAGGACAAAGCACCCTGATAATATCATCAAAGGATATAAAATGAACCTCCAACATTTTCTTGGCAGTAAAATCCCACTAGGAGTTCTCAACTTTTTCTTCAAACTTAGTTACAGTCGAAAAGTAAATAATTTTATTTTTCTTGACATTGATAGTGCCATGTATATTAACAAATCATTTTTAGGGCTGGAAAAAAGTTAAAGCCCATGGAATCGGCGTTCACAAACCAGAAGAAATCATGGAATTTGGACAAAACGATCTTAAAGTTTTATCTGAAATATTGGCCGACAAACCATTTTTCTTTGGAGATGAACCTACAACGGTAAGTTTTGTCTAGAAAACATATTGTCTCAACTAATTTTGTGCAAAATTTCAAATTGCAGTTGGATGTAGTGGCATTCGCTAATTTAGCACAAATATATTTTATTGAAAAAGACATGCATTACCCACTTCAAGAATTCATGCAAGAAAACTGTGCTAACCTTGTTGGACATGTGAATAGAATGAAAGACAGGTAAAATTATTTAAAATGTTTTTAAAAAACAACACTTTAATTTTTTTTAAATCGATTTCCAGGTGTTTTCCTGATTGGGAAGATATATGCACAACACTAGACCTCAACTCTCATCTCCCAAAACCTCCACCAGAAGAAAAGGAATCAAAAGGAAAAGATGAAGAAAAAAAAGCTGAGAAGGAAGGAGATGAAGGTGATGAAAAAGAAAAGGTAATAGATATATTTTATACCAAGTTTTACAAGTTATGGTCAAATTTTCTTGCAATTATAAAATGGAAATGTATTCATTTTTCAGTCCGAGAAAGAAACTGAAAAAGAGAGTGAAAAGGAGAATGCTGACAAGGAAAATAAAGAAAAAGAGAAAGAAGAAAAGTAAACACCTTAACAAGGAATATTAAGTACCCAAACATCACCTCCTTCGACTCTTTTCCATCACTTCAATATCGGCTATCAAACAAAACATCAGATTATAAATTTGACCTTTTTTCTCCTCTCCCTTAATACATAAAGCATATCCCATGTTCACTCAAACATGAGTAAAAGCATGTATAGATCTATTGTGAATGTGTCCATGGTATGCATGAAAGTACTTTATGTACTTGTGGGTGTGTGTATGTGAGTGTTATGAAATATTTAACTCCATTTTCTATACTTTTGTTGTCTACAGAATATGAAAAGGTTTAATTTTTTTTTATAATTAAGGACAGAATTAAAATTTATATGTGGGCATTAGAGCTGGATGAAAAGTTCAAAGATCATTTCGTACTCGAAATTTCTTAGAAGATTTTCATACAGTGATAGGTAATTTTTATGAACTCTAGCTAGATAGGTAAAAGTGTAGATTCAGAATGATATTAATAAACACATTTTATACGTGACTTATACTGTTTAGAATTTTTCATAATTTTTTAATGAGCATGTAGATAATTTCAGTCATGACAAACAATAGAAAATAGACAAAAACGCTCAAAATTGTCATATGCTCAAAAAAAAGTTAATTCAATGCGCTATTTTAATTTACAAATTTTTTTTTTTTAAGATGTAGAAAATGAGTCGAGAGGAGTGAGTTTATAAATTGTGCCGTAGGTTCGACTCGGGACCATACTATTTGTCCAATGCATTTAAAACACACTGCGGCGCTAGTTTAATAATTTTAAAAAAATTTGTCTTTACAATTTTCTGACTTGAGATTATTAATCTTGTGGTTAAAAAAAGATAAAAATTAAAAAACTTATCAGGACGCTCTATGAGCACTGTTTGTATCGCATACATATAAATATTTATATATTATAAAACTTGTCAAACAATATGCTGTAAGTTTCCTCTTTTTTTATTATCTTTTCAGTAACAGTAAAAAAATGAAAGAAAAATTACATAAAAATGCTTGTTTTGTAGCATTATTACAATTATATAAATACATTTATATATATAAATATATAGGATAGTTGTGTATACATAAGCTTTTATTTTATGGATTATTATTTTTTTTATTATACAGTTATGTGTTTTATAAATATATATAGTATATTATATTTGGAGGAGCTTTACCCCCTGTGACGGATCCTGATCCTCGGTTTTTGGGCTTTGATTGTTTAATGCACCACAAGACAGGAAATGATCTCATTGGTGCACATAAAAAAGAAAAAGAGCCAGTCTCTAGGTTAATTGATATTTTTTATATGTAAAAATTTGTTTATGTAAAAATTGTATACTCACTAATATTTCTGGTTTGTTTGAAAGTTCACAAAACAAAAACAAAGTTAGTTTTTTTTTTCTTTTCTTGCTATCTTGTGTATAAAATGTTAAACTTACTAATGTTGATTGCTATCAATGACAGCATTTTGACCAAAGCTACATATGAAATTTTATAATGTTGTGGTTATTGTAGCTTCTCTTTATTGCTTTAACAAACAAAAATGAAATATTTCAAAAAATTGGAATGTTATAGTGTTTTGTCTCAGTTTGTGGTAATTCACAGTTGTTTGCATAGATGTGCATATATACAGCCCATAATTTATTTTATATATACATATTGATATGCTAACAGTTGTATATACATAAACAGGCAAGAACATTCATAACAAAAACAAAATAAAATAATTGGAGCTGTAATTTACACATTTGCCTAAATAAAATATAATACCCATTGATGTGTTTCAGAATTGGAGTGTGCTTTTTTTGCTCAAAAATGTCATTCCTTCACAATTTAAAAATATATTTACAACAAATTGTTTTATTAAAATTTTGCTAGGTGGTCATAGATTCAGAAAAAGTATCTCTAGGTATTACATTTAATTTATTTAGATTATTGGAAATCTGTTAAATTATCGAGAAACAAGTCCTCATGGAATTTAAATTTTGTTCAATTATTTTGTGATTGTCTAAGGATTGTGTATGTTGCAAATTATGTCTAAATGGCTGTGATGACAGCCACAGCATAAATACAAATACACTAAGACAAAAACGTGGTCAACCTTGATTTTTAAAGTACATAAACCGTAACAATTTTTATTTACTGAATATTTTTAAAGAAAAATATAGCTAAAAATGTTGCTATGGAAACAGAACAAAACAGTATTTCCTATGCTTGAATTCGGCATGGCATCAATTTATGAGGTTTTCAATGTAGTGCTGCTAATACTCCAACAGTGCCTTTCTTAATTCTTGCAATGATCCTAACTGTGTGGTGGCTTGCATTTTCATGCATCAAAATAAAACCGTCGCCAATTAGTGGCATATAAGGAACAACTTATGATAAAAAATCTTCAATATATTGTGCTTGATGATCAAGTTTGTGCGACCATCTATGGAAATGTTTTAGGGATATATATGGCTCTCCTGTTTTTCTCCAAACCCTCTCATCCGTCATAAGGCAAATGAAACTGACAAATCCTAAAAAAGATTTTAGTCCAATCTTGCTCATACCAATTGATGTGATTTCTTGCAAACCGCATTGTCAGAAGTTCTGGACTAGCTGCAGACCACACATAATCCAGCTTAAGAAAGTCTTTGGCCTACAGTGAGAAACATTTCTACCTTGTTGAAGTTGTTCGAAGTCAACAGCGGTAGAATGTTGATTATAGAGTAGATTCGAAACATTATCTCAGCGATGTGACGCGATTTGACGATCCATGCTTTCTTGAATAACCTACAGTATCTGGTAGCAATGGAAGACCCTTCGGACAGTTGTGCTGGGAGTGTTAAGCACCCTTGCCAAATTGCTTTACCATCTGCCAACAATGTTCTAGTTGAAATCTCAATCATCTAAAACCAACACTCAAACAAATTTGAAACAAAACAATCAAACCACCAGAATGTGAGAAGCTTTACAGAAAAAAACAAAACAAAAAAAGAAGAAAAAAGTGACTATTCATACAAAATCTAATTGTAAACCTAAGCGGGAGATTTTATGTCTCTTATTTACCTTTAATCTTTTAAAACAGACAAAATATTGTTAGATAATATATATATATATAAAGTTTGCGCTTATATATATTTAAATATTTAATAGGTTTTGGTGGATTGTTGCAGAATACGATTCATAATTGCACTTCTTAAACAGGTCAATTTTGGAACAACTTACCTTTACTTGAAAGGTCAACATGCAGACCTCTGTGTTATTTGTGATCCCTTAGCAATACCTGGTTGAGAAATTTCCTGAGATAATTAATTTCACAAGTAACTTAAAACATTTTTACTGAATAGATCATACAGAACTAATATTACTTTCCTTAGGTCTAATTTGTACAGCCAGGCTGTGAAAAATGAATAATTAAATTGTTTTATTTAAGTAGCTGGCATGAATGAAAGTGCTGTTATCACATTTCATCTATTCATTGCAATTCCAAACTTTCATAATTTCTTGTGAATGAAAGTGTTATTAGCATCCATTCACAGGCCAGTCTGTGCAGTGAACTGGGGCAACCCCGGACACCCAAACTTCAGATTATCTGCTGCCACATCCTCTCACTAGTACGATCGAGTGCCTGACAGGGTCATGTATGGCATGCTTTGTTTGCGGATATGTCTCCTCAGGATTCATTTCAGTGAGGCCTGGACTGTCACTGTGGATGGTGCTTCGGTTGGCCAGTCAACCAACGTCCAACACCCTCCCAGAAGTAATCACCCACAATCTGACAAAGTTGCCTGTCGTGTACCCCACCCTCTACAAGATTAAGTTCATTGCACTTAGTAGTGGATATACCAGTTTTCGTCTAGTTTTTACAGGCGGTCCAAGACGCGATGGTGGATGGTGAAATAGTCACCATTGCCCCTCCAGTAGAGTATATACATATTATGCAGGGCGGGCGACCGAGAAAGGAGGGGTTAAAAGCCTAGGTAGGCCCGAACCCCATCCCTAAAAGGTCTGGGACTTGGTCGGCTCATAAACCTCTTTACAAACCCCAAGATTTTGGACCATTTTATCTTGGGGAGTGATTTGTCAATGTCTTCTCCTTCAAAAGTTTCAAATCTATCCCTGGCATACCTATCACATTCTGCGAGGTAGTGTCGGGCCGTTTCTTCTTTTATTTCACAGAAGCGGCAAAAGGGGTCTGGTAGGATACCCATTATGAAGAGGTGTCTTCTCAAGGGGCAATGGCCCGTTAGGATACCTATCAGCCTCCTTATTCCCCTCCTTGAGTTAGAGAGTAGCCATTTCGTTTCTTTTGGTTTGATTTCCTTCAGAAACTCCTTCAATTGCCTATGTCCGGGAGGCAGATTCTATTCTTTCAGGAATTGTTTCATGCCCCAGCAATTAATACTCTCTTTCGCTGTGCTTATAGAGTGGGGTAATACCGGTTGTGGCCCGACAAACACGGTATTTGAGCCTTCTTTGGCCAGGCTGTCCACCTCTTCATTGCCATAGTGCCCCTTATGAGCTGGTATCCGTATGAGGGTTACCCTATTCTCGTACCTGGTAGTAATCCTATTAATAAGTTCAACGGTTTCCTCTACCAGCCTAGATGTTGATAACTCTTTTTGTAGTGACTTAAGACTGACATGACTGTTGGAAAAAATTCTAATATCTTTTCCCTTAATCTTGTTCTCCACGAGTGTTCTGCAGCAAACATTGATGGCCCAGACCTCCGCCTGAAAGACTGAGGTGTTATTACCAAGAGGGGAGGAGATGCTGATCCCTAATTTAGGTATATGTATTCCAGCACCACTTCCCTTGTCCTTAATGAGTGAGCCATCAGTGAAGCAGTCTAGGCTACGATGGACATCATCCGCACTACAGTTGTAATCACAGGGAGTAACTACCTGAAAGTGCTTTTTCCCTAAAGGTGTTTTTACTTTTTATTGCTTACGCTTAGTAGTTGGTTATTGACCTTACTCAATAAATGTAGAATTTTCGAGTGACCTATATTATTTCCCTTATGGTTCCAGCTGCCTTCCAGTAGAGTATGCACTTAAGAGTTAGGGTCGATGTAGTAATATTTATGAAAGCACCCCATTCATCATAACTTATGTTAGCTTATTACTTAATTCTTAGATTATAGTTTGCTCGAGTTCTGGGCTGAAATGACCTAGCTGTCGAAAGCCCCTACAGCCTAACTCCATTGGTCGGTTACCAAGACCCCCCCCCCCCGAGCATTTGGCTCAACAGCTCAACGATAGTCCTAGTCACCCAGCCGCATAACTCTGAGAAACTAAGGTGTGAAAATAAAATAAAGAAATCACAAAATTCAGAATATATTTATTTACAATAAGAATTTATTTATCAATAAATTTTAAAAAATTTAAACAGTTGAAGAGAATTAAAAGTTTTTTCTTTTAATTTGTAGGCATAGAATAGTACACCAAATAGTGTTTGTACTAAGGAATGTGTATGGAAACTGCTACTTGTAAAAATAAGTACATACATTTATTTTTATTATTAATATTATTACATCATTTGAAAAATGAAAGATTATTTTTCTAAAGAATAATTATTTATTTAGAGGTACTCAATAAATCATAAAATAACGAACTACACACTACTTGTAAAAACCTTATTCAGGCCATTAGGCTGTACACACTTTATTGTAAATTACGGTTTGTACAATTTCTTTATCCTTCATCACAGACATATCTCACTGTTGTTCATTTATACATAAATGAAGCTGAATCTGGGGGGGAAAAAAACAATTGATAATTAAGCCCAACTTTTTAAAAATAAACTTCTTTGTTTTAATTACCTGCACAGTGCCTGTGGTAAAGATGAGATTATTGGTCCATAACCTTGCGAATTATCATAGAGTTCAAACAACGGAGCGGCAACAAGTTTGTAGTTTTTAGGGACGGCAAATTGAGCTAAAAAATATGCAAAAACAAAAACAATATTATCCCCGTCCAAATAACAATTTAATGCCTAAACAACATTTAGTTCTATATCAGAAACATTGTTACAAACTATTTACTACAACAATTCAACATTCAATTATGTATTTTAAAAATAAAATTGAATTTTTTCTGCTTGTGCAGTTCAGAATTGGCAATGTGACAGCAAACTCTTATGTTAATACAATAATGGTTCTATTAGTACAATTTACTGATTAACATTCCAAAAAATCATGAGGTCATTTAAATGCTGAATTTTTATTTTAGATAAATAATACTTCAAACAAATGTCTGGATGAACAAACTTAAAATTGACTTTGTTTCAGAAATGTTTTTACATAAACTTGCTCAAAACGTAGCCATAAGAATTGAATGTTGTTATAAATAATTAAAAGACCAATAAAACAAATTAAGAAAAAATAAACAATAAAAATGAGCAAATAAAGTCTAGAATAAATAATTCACACACAAAAAAAATCAGATCCAATTATGTATGACAAAATGTATTCAGTTCTCAAGGATATTAACATCCTTTTTTAATTTTTATAATATAAAATGTAATGTTATAGAAAAAAGTGTCTATTTACATATAAGGTATTAAATCAAATGTCTCTAAAAATTAAAAAATATTCCCATGAAAATGAATTCAGTGAACGTGGTCATTGCAAACAAAATTATATTTGTTTAATCTAGAACCCAAACAGCTGTTTTTATTTTTTTATTTAAAGATATTGTTTAATCAAAATTATTTGTGGGGAAACTATAGGCGCTAAAGAAATCAACAGTGAAATGATTTAAAACAATTCCCAATGAACAATATTTACAATGTAATCAAGTTACTACACCATTCATTTAACATAATGTGTATAAAACTTGAAAACAAGAAATGGTTGTACATATTGAGATTTATATAAAATTTTATAAGTACTGATTAATGTTACAGTCTCTTATATAGAAAACTTGGTCAATCAGTTCTAAAAAAATGAAAAAAATTGCAATAATTCTTGAAACTGAATATAAAATAGGTTGGCATCAAATCGATATAACTCCATTAAATGTTACAATCAAGGTGATGATATACTCAAAACATTTCAATGCCTGAAAAGGACAGGAATGTTAGAGGTTTAACCACTTCAACTCTTGTTTGGATTGTAATTTTGTGGATTAAATACAAAATTACGTAGAAATTAATGAATTCAATAAACAAAACGTTTAAAAATGACAACAAATGTGTAGTATTGGGTTACGTGACAATTTTTCCGTTTTTTCCTTCTTATTGTAAAAACAAGTGCATTATCTCCGCTATTGAATATATTTCTAAGAAAATAAGTAATAAGCAAATCCAGTGCAACATTCAAACCTGATTAAACGTTAATTTTAATCTATATTTGAATTTAGTGAATATATGCACAACGGAAGTGTCCAGATATACAGGGCGCCCATCCTCTTGGTATTCTGATCCCCCCAACTAAGGTATGATCAACAAGAAATAAAGTTTTATTTATTAACAGCTAATGAAGAAAAAAAATATGCCAGTAATTTTGCATAATGAAATTAAAATATTTTAAAAATTAACACGCAATTGATGTACAACTAATATTTCATTTATTTTTTAAAATGCTTTTTTATTTAACAACATTTATAAGATAATGACCAAAGCATGTATTGCATTTACATATAGTAAAATAATAATTGAACTATCTGCTTATTGTTCTGATTTTTATCTACTCTGTACATTTGATTCATGTAGATAAACGGAATGTTATTTTTTACCATACCAATTCTATACAAACTTTTCTAACAACCCAATATCTGATTTATTTTAGATGAAGTTATTAAAATTTAAATTCCTCTATAAAATATTATCTTTTATTATATTAATTAAAATGCAAGACTTTTTTCAAGGTGAAGAAGGAAGAAATGTGTGTGGAAAGGATTGATAAATGTCATGTATAGCGCTAAAGAAAAAAAGAAAAACTAGTGATTTTCACTGCTATTCCAGATTATGCAACGGTGTACATGTTTCATACAAATTTTAACAAGTAGTCAGTATAAAAATGAAAATGTATGTAACATTTTTTGTAAGATTACAAATGAAGAAGGAACATGTTCCACAAACAATTAAGTACAATTAGCAAACAACTGTTGTCTTTTTTTTCATACCTACATCATATTAGACTCCATTATTATAATTGAGATCAAATAAAATCAAAAGAATGTTTCTAGACTTCAAAAAATATTATTACCTATATAATATAAAGCATTTGGCTTAATAGTAAAAAGTTAATAAGTAAACATGCACAAGAAATGTCTAACTAAATACATACGATTAATAAAAAATATAATATAAACAAAGCAACCTTTCTAATTAATAAATTTTACTTCATAATACATGCCTTATTGTATTATCATTAATATAATTTGTTTGTATATATTTGAACATCTCACACTCCCAGAAGAGTCCATTTTTTGAGAATGGACAGTTGGTACATTTTCTTAATGTTTTGCTACATAGTAAGGAAAATTATATTCTTATTAAGGTGCAGTAAAATATAATTTTGCCTTACAATTATTACATCTCCGATTACAATTAAATAATTCAAAATTCCCCTTTAAAATAGACAATTTTTTTTTAAATAATAAAACGTGATTGTTTATTTATGTTGGCAGTTATTACTGCCTACAAAGAAATTAGTGAAACAGAAAAACTAATTATTTCATTAAAATTCTAATTAAAAAATAAATAAATAAATAATAAAACTTTGGTTTTACATGATGAGACAATAAATTATAAAAAAAAGGAAAGAAAAAATAATATTTCACGAGCAAGTTTTCGGCCCCAAATAAGCAATCAATGAAAGTTTATACAGAGTGAAAACATTTTACATGTAAAAAGGGTGCCATTATTTAAAATAGTTACTTCAAGAACACATCAATATCTCAACCAGAACCCGTATTTAAGTTCCCATATTAAATAAATATAGAACATTAAAATATAATCCAATTAATCCTTTATTTAATGTTCCCTTTATGCCATTTGATCATATTTCACTAGGAACCAAACATTTATTTATGAAGGATTTTTTTTGCAACAACAGAAGCTTTCACCATTAGAAGTTGCTTTGCTATAAAATATGCAGGAATTTAACAACTTCTGCTCAGTGTGAGATAAGCCTAATAGCATGAACGTTTAAAAAATAAACATTTTTTAAAAATAAATTCATAAATGTGGCATAAAGGGCAAGCAGGATTAATTAACAGGTTAAAAAAAGAAGACAAAACGAAGTTCTTTAAAAGAATTCTTTTTCTCTAAAACATACATTCCCCAATTTTCTCTTAATTTGCAAATAGTTAAAAAAAGAACTTTGATCTCGAAAATTGATCATTATTTATTTATTATTGGGACCACAGGAAGTAGCTTGGTAATTCAACCGTTATCGAATTGAATAAACACCCTTCTTTTGAAATATAATGGACTGTAGATTTTTTGGCCAGGTTGGTTGAACTTCTCAATGTCTTGCTTAACTGTGAAATAAACATAAATTCAATTACAGTTTATCCATATGTTCCCTTGTAAACTTTGATATTGCTCTTCCTTCTTTTATTACCTCTTTTTAAGAAATTCACTATTTATATCAATTTAAAATATTTTGGATGTGAGAAAATGGTGAAAATAACAACATACCGAATTAAGAAATGGTGTAAATTTTGATGATTTACAAATGAAATGACTTGTGTTACCTTTTTCAGCCAGTTGGACGAGAAATAGCCTTTTATGCTCTTTTGGCTTTGTAATATGTGGTGGAATGTAGGGATACTGTGGTGGCTCAAAATTCGGTCGCCACCAGTTGCCGATAGTGTCTTCGACAATCCAATCTTGTTTTACACCATCTTGACGCCCTAGTGTCTACAAAATCAAGATAAAACATTTTCTATAAGTAGTTTGCACAACCTTTTACTTCATTATGATTATTAAATTATAATACAGACAATTTTGATTAAGTATTACATTATTTAATTTCAATATATTAATGGTTAACTTAAATCAAAACTCACTTCTGTGAGAAGTCTTTTAAGACCGTCAACTTCATCTTCCCCAGCATTAAGTTCACCACCTGGTAACTTGAAAAATGTTGTTCCTAACTGTAATAATAAAACATGAGGCAATCCATGTTCGTGCACCAAAAGAACTCCTTCTACACTTCTCCTCATTCCAATCTTTTCAAACTCTTCTCTCATCCGCTGGAATCTGGCTGGAACTGAAGGATCTTTTTCAAAAAGAGGCTCTTTCGTGCCAAACGTGTAGTTTGTTAGAGGGTACCTGAAATGACAAGCAATTGTTTGAATCTAAACCAATCAAGTCAAATTCATTGATACGCAAATTACATGATTATCAATAAATTGGTAAATTCATGGTGCTGTTTAAAATCGTCTAAGATAAAAAATTTAAGAGTTACATTTAAACATAGCAGCAGAGATGTCTGGTGAGCAAAAAAATAAATCCTCAAAGCAGTAATAATACATTTATATTAATATATGTGGGAAGAGAGCATCTCAGATCAATTGCCCTCCGGGTCTGGTTGTTTTAAAGGTTTTTTGGGTAAGAGTTGAGGAAGATATGCAAGTGCAAACAGAGAAGAACGACGTATATTGTATAGCAATACCTTGTTAAAAAAGCGTGTTACAAGTAATGCGTACATTCAGTTACTCCCCCACATATATACTAAAATAAAAATTAAAATGTGTGCTAATATACTGTCTAAAAATGTAAAAACAAATATCAGAATATTGAACCTATAATGGAGATGATTGCACCATTGATCACACTCCCAAAAGAGTCCATTTTTTGAGTATAGACAGTTGGTACATTTTCTTAAAGTTTTGCTTCGTAACAAGGAAAATTATATTCTTTTTAAGATGCAATCAAATATAATTTTGCCTTACAATTATTACATCTCCAATTACAATTAAATAATTCAAAATCCCCCTATAAAATACTGACAAAATTAATTTTTTTAAATAATAAAAAGTGTTAGTTCATTTATGCTGGCATTTATTACTGCCCACAAAGAAATTAGTGAAACAGAAAAACTAATTATTTTATTAAAATTCTAATAAATAAAATTTTGGTTTTTCATGATGAGACAATAAATTATAAATAAAAAAAAGAAAGATAAAATAATATTTCATGAGTAAGTTTTGGCCCCCAATAAGCCAGCAAAAGTTTATACAGAGTGAAAACATTGTATATGTAAGTTCTCTTCCATATTAAATAAATACAGACCAATAAAATATAATCCAATTAATCCTTTATGTAATATTCCCTTTATGCCATTTCATCATATTTTACTAGGAACCAAACATTTATTTATAAAGGATATTTTTCAACAGTTGAAGCTTATTATTATATTCATTAATTTTCATGGCCTGCTTGACCAATTAATAGAATTCATTTAAGTAAGGTTTTTAGTTGGCAAAAAGGAGGGAAAATTCAAAAGGTGGGGTTGAGATGGGAAGTTAGTGCCCGAGTGGATCGAAGTCACGTGGTAGAGTAGCGGCGTATCAAGCCGAAGGTCGTGGGTTCGAATCCCTCTTGTGACTGACTTTTTTATCTCAACTAAAAACCTTAATTAATTGAATCTTATTATTATACATTAGAAAAACTCCTTTGGTTTTTCATTGCTAGAACTAAAGGCATTTTCCCTCTACTTTACCTTTAAACTTAAGTTGTTTATGTTTGAATATTTAATTATGTAAATAGTCAATTAATTATACACAATTTTTTTCGAATTGAAAAATTTGTGTCACAGGCGGGATTCGAACCCACGACTTTCGGCTCAATACGCCGCTGCTCTACCACTTGAGCTACCGTGACTTCGATCGCCCATGCCACAAACTTCTCATTTCGACTACCTGATTTTATTCTAATTATAAGCAAATCGCGGCTTCATATAGAAACACTTTTTATTAACGATTATACTAGATTTGCGGGACTGTGTACGATTCACACAGTTTCTGGTGTGATTCTAGATTAATACTAAATTTTTTATCAGCTTCTATTAAATTTATAAATATTAAATTAATTATACACAATTTTTTCCGAAATGAAAAATTGTGTATAATTAATTGAGTATTTATATATTTAACAGAAGCTGATAAAAAATTTAGTATTTTTTTCATTTTCTCGATAAAAGAAAATTCTGCCTTTAATTTGTCTCATTGTTTTTATCGATAAATATTTGTTTATGTTATATTTTAAATTGGGAATATCAATTAGAGGGAAACACACTTAATCCTTAATCCAAAACAAGAATAAAGGATTTTTCAATGTTTAATTTTTACGGAATTTAAAATGTTTATTCAGTCTCATTTGCATTCTGAATAAAATTTAGAATTAATCTAGAATCACACTTATGAATCGTACACAGTCCCGTTAATCTAGTATAATCGTTTATAAGAAGTGTTTCTATATGAAGCTGCGATTTGCTTATAATTAGAATAAAATTGGGTACTCGAAATGAGAAGTTTGTGGCATGGGCGATCGAAGTCACGGTAGCTCAAGTGGTAGAGCAGCGGCGTATTGAGCCGAAAGTCGTGGGTTCGAATCCCGCCTGTGACACAAATTTTTCAATTCGAAAAAAATTGTGTATAATTGAGTATTTAATAGAAGCTGATAAAATTTAGAATTTAATTATGTATTTAAAAACTTAAGCAGACTTTTTGGTAGGATAATAATTGGATTTGGAATTTATATAAACTCAAATCTGCATTGTAATTTACAAATTCGATAACCACCCACCTCAGCTGTTGGCATCCCGCATCCTGCTACCGAAATTGGGCTCCAGGCCAATTCAGCACCCAACGCATGCAGTTCCTAGATCCAAATCCATTCACACTCTCATTCATTCTTAAATAAATTCTTTCCTATTTACATATCATTCATTCAATTGGTGGTGGAGTACTCGATATTCTACCGTCACCCTTTACACCTGTTGTATAACCTGATGGGTACTCAATATTCTGCCATCGGCCCTCTCACCCTAAACATTCACTCTAATAAATACATTTGCTTTTCCCCTGGATATTCGCTGTTCAGCTCAAGCACAATTCTCATATCAGCGTGGAGTTGCACCCTTCAATTAAATGAGATAAATCGGGCAAACTTTCTCTGCTTGTAAGAGACATATGTGTTTACGATCAAAAGTAAGTGTCCATGTGTCAACCTTGCATGGCCCAAACTTAATTGGGAGAAAATGACCCCTCTTCTGATCGACAGTGCTCTCCAAATGCAAGATCTCTGCCGACCCGGCCCACCAACACTGCTATGTTAGTTGAAAATTTACTTTGTTGATTTTTTACCGAGTCATTATTGTTCCAACTTATAAAATGAAAGAAAATATTTTCTGTTTTGTTTAAAAAAATTGTTGTGGTTAGAATGCTAATTATGTTATGATCATGCACATATATAAATTATGTTTATTGAGGTTTACTGTCTTAATTATGTCATTATAATATAAAAAATACCAATTTTTAATAATATAAAACGAGCTTTGTTGTTTGATAACAATCGAAGCTATAGTATAAACAATCGGTCGACTGAGTCATTGTATAACTGAAACTGAAAATAAATAAAGCTGAGAGTCATTCTGCCGAGAACGCGAAGCCGACAAAATAGACATAGGCAGATGGACGTCAAAGTATAAAGAGCGGCAGATCGGAAATTTATTTGAAAATAGAGATTTACGAACCCAAAAAGGTGCGACTTACAAATTAATCGGCCTGTTGATGGTTAGCAATTGTCCTCCGGTGTATTTCGTCGGGAAACTCGTCGGAGCTTGGTTCGTGGAAGCCCTCCGCGGCCAACCATGGCCACCTCCGGGAGGCGTCACGTTCTGGTTTTCTTGTTTGTTTATCGTCGCAGCCGTAGCCATGAGTCGAACGTTTGTCCCTCGGGGTCGAAATGCTCCTAGCACGCCAACGAGAACTGCCGAATGAAACAAACTTGCCGAAAGACAGGGGTGGACGCAGCAAAACGGTAATCGACCAACACTAGCGTGATTTTCCGCGGAAGAGAGACTTGCCAATGAATATGGAGCCGATGCGTCCTAGCGCCTTCCGCGGTCTTGCCTCTTACTAGCGCAAGCCGCAACCGTGCCGACATGCAGCGGCCGCTTTTGTAAATTTACTTACTTATTTAACGAGAAATATCCCAATTACAAATAAATAAATTTTGCAAAAAATATTATAAAAATAAATATTCTATATAAATGATTGATATAATCTATGGTGGATATAATCATAATATAAAATAATTGAAAAATAAAACAACAACGAAACAATCATGAATACAAATATTATGTGAAAACATATTTTATTTTTTGCCGGCACACATTTTTCCTTTCTGCATTTTCCTCTTCGGTATTTTCACCCTCAAATTAGTTCATTTATTCAATGCTTATCTTATGGTTGCAATGGCCTGGACTCATCTGCACCCTTCACTCACATACCAACAATATATATTCATTCACCAATAACTACTTACAGCACGCTAATAAATACACTCATGGGCCTACTTACTTGCCGTACACCGAGGTACATAGTAAATATGAAAGTATTCATGAATACTACACTAATTAATACAAAATATACATAAAGAAAAATAAACATAATTATTTAATCACAACTACAGAAAACAAAATACACTGCTCCACAAAAAAGTGGCACACTATATTTTTTCTTTTTTAAATTGACTACATTATGGCCATATTTTTTGTTTTAATACTTTAAAAATGATTGAATAATTATATGTGTGGTGTTTAGTGACTATTAATTAAAGATTATTTAGAGATCGTGAGATGCGGTTTGGTGTGATGTAGGTTTTAGAAAAACATTTTTTTATCGTGCCAATGTTTCGATCTCTATTGAGATCATTTTCAGGGCCTGGGATTGGCACAAAAACATTGGCACCATAAAGAAAATGTTTTTCTAAACCTGTCACACCCGACTGCTCTCATGCACATCCAATAATCATTAATAATTATAATTGGAAGGAAAGTATTTGTTTATGTCACTGATAGTGAGGTGCTTAATTCATAATTTTATTTAAAATCTCCACAACGTAAATCATCAATGAAGGTTTTTAATCTTTTAAAAATATGGAGTGTTTAGTGACTGTTGGCTAATGATTATTTAGAAATCGTGAGATGTACACTAGACCGCATCTCACAATCTCCAAATAATCTTTAAAAATATATTTATTCACTGCTAATGAAACAAAACAAAATGGTTGCAAAAATGTCTATAATCAGCGAGCAAGTTGCCTGGCCATTGCACTCATTGAGGGTGGAAGGAATGAGCGTTACACTGCAAGTTTTAGATTTGCCTAAAACAATGGTTGTTGGGCATTCATTGGTACCAGGAGATTGTAAGGAGTACTCGGAGACTAGGAACAGGATGTCGAAGAGCCAGGGGTCCAGCTGATGATCATTTATCAGATTTCACACTCTGAGACATTGCTTCTGAAATGCCACAGACTTCAAACTGTACGGGATGTATCCATTAGTGCTGAAACAGTAAGGAGCCTTGCAGAAGTGAATACATCCCATGAGGCCAACAACAGGATCCAGCGCTTACCAGAGACCATCTGTTTGCAAGGGACACTGACAAAGGGCGGAAATAGTAATGAAGGAATATTATATTTTCAAACGAGTCCCAGTTTTCTTCCGTTCACCACATGGACGTATTTGAGTTTATCGAGCAGCTGTAGAACTCTACAGCCAATGCAACATTGCTGGAAGGGGGTCGTTCAGTTATGGTGTGGAGTGGAATTTCTTTGGAGGAAAAAACAGAGTTAAATATTTTTAATAGGACACAACTTTATGCAGAAATCTACGTGACAGAAATTCTTGAAGAATATATGGTGCCATTTGCTCCTTTATTGGCGAGAAATTTTTGTTTTATGCGAGATAATGTAAGACCAACTATCACTACCTGTGTTATGCACCTTTGAGATGTCAATATTTACATCCTAAGTCACTCAGCCTGTATTCCTGAATTAAACCCCATTGAGTACTTTTGGGACAAGCTCGGACGATGGGTAAAACGAAGAAATAACCCTCATACATCCTTAGCTGAGCTGCAAGTTACGTTGGTTGAGATTTGGGATGTAATTACTCAAGAAGTGGTTAAAAGCTTAATTATTAGCGTGCTGAGAAGGTTAGAGTGTATAATAAGAGCAATAGAAAAAGAAAAAAAAAAGAAGTAACTATTAGCAATATTAAAAAAAAAAAATGTCGTTCTAATGACCAAAATATTTTTATTACACATCATTAAATATTCTTCTAGGTTAAAAGAGGTTCTAAGGAAGCAACAACACCAAACTTCATCAACAAGTAAAACAATACAAAGATAATAATACAATTGTTAACTTATTTTACTTATAACAATGTCTAAAATCTAGTAACATTTCTTACAATATTAAATTTACATATATTAAACAAAAATATAATACAGTGAAACAAAAATTAAATATTTTAAAAGATCGTGTTCTGACCAACTCCTCCAAGGAGTCAGTTATTTAAACGATAATTTAAAATTTAATTAAATTAAAATGCTATTAAATCCCCAATGCCCTGAAATAAGCTTGCTTTGACCACACGGAAGTGCCAAAAGGGGGATTGTACATATCTTCCTCATCTGATTGCACACTACACTCAGTATCATCCAACGAGTTCAAGCCGCTGAAAGCACCAGCATAAATGACATGAATGGTTGTTTCAACTGACAACTTCATGTCTTCAAGCCACTGGAGGGGAAAACAAATAAATGAAATATATTTGAAAATAAAATGAGGGAAATTTAAAATTTATTTTACCTTCGGAGTGATTAAAAAATATTGGGCTTGAGGATCCTTGCAAACAGCACACGTTATCAAAAAATACACTCTTTTTTCATTAAAGGCATCCATCCCCTGAACAAAATAAATCTTGTAATTATGGTCTTCATCTTACTTATTCTACTTGTGTATTATTGTAATATATTTATTTTATTTTATTTTTAAACAAGGGTTTGCAACAGCAGAGGTCATATCAACTGTTGGGGTGCCGGTATTTGGAAAAAAAAATTAATTAATTTAAAAAAAAAAAAAAAAAAAAGTTTGCAGGGCCACAAGAGTCAATCCCGAGACCTTTACCTAACAGTATTAAGCACCGTATCAATGCCTAAACCATTGCGACCACCGACACTTCTACCCTTCTGTTTATTGAGCTAAAATTTGTGTGGCAAGAAAAAAAAAAAATTGGCTTAAGAAACAAAAGCTGATAACAATTAATGAACATATTGTCATAGAATAGAAATAGTAAATTATTGAGTTGTCACATAAAATACTCCAGATTTGAAAAAAGAAATTTTTTTCAATGAAATTGCCAAAAAAATTGAAAAAAGTTTTCACCTGTCTATAGGTAATGTATTAGGAGAATAAGAGGAACACTGTAAGCTTCATAGTTCCTTTAATTTGGTCACAGTATGTATTGCTATGGACAGGAAAAGGCTTTTTTTGTAGAAATGGTGAATGATGGAGTGAGTGCGGTGTTCAATCCTTTTTTAAAAAAGGTAGTTCCTACTCACAGTAACTGTGAGTAGGAACTATCTTAAAAAAAAAAGTATCATCTATGCATGATTATTTCATGCTGTTCTAAATCTATTAAGTTTATGAAAATATGTCAGAATTAGCCTGCAAAGTTTATGGGGAAGATACAATCATATGCATTACAATAATAGCATTTATGAAGGAAAAAATCCATGATCGCTTTTATCGCAGTCAATGTGATAATTCTTTTGTGTGACTTTTGCCACTTCAATGAGAAAAAAATATACATATACATTTTATTGTAACAAAAATTTATGACTGGCGATGACAGTAGTTTATTTATTATCAATTTAGTTTTGTATGCTAATGAAACATCTATTTAACAAACTTACGCTAGAAGCCCATTTTTAGAGGACAGGGTAAAAGATGGGGTTTGAAAAAACCAACCATTTGTAAGTATGTCAGGTTCAAATGCAGGGCCGGTGGATTCAAATCCGGGACCTTTACCTTATAGTGATGAGCACCATATCAACGCTTAAACCGTTGCGGCCACCGACGCCCTTAAAAAGTTATTTTTATTACAGATAAAATTAAAGATCAGTTTGCTAATGAATATTTATTTACGATATACTTGTTAATATGACCTCTGCTGTTGTGAACCCAAATTAAAAATAAATAAATTTTGACAGCGTGTGGCCTAGAGAATGAGGTTTTGTATTATGTAGTTGCCATTTGCACAAAATTGTCAGAGTAAGAAGTGGTTAGGCTCTAAGACTTAAGCAGGGAAAAAGTTATACAAAAATCGGAACAGGAGAAATAAAGTCTAAATGCCGTTCTCAACACAATTGTTTTTTCTTATACGCTCACTTTATCGAGCCAAGGAATAATCCCACCTTTAAATTAAGTGGGACACATCGACCAACGTTTCTTTACGTGCCAGATAAATACTTTGGCCCAGAAGTGTCTGTGTGTCAGTTTTTAGTGTGGCCCATTTTTAGACATGAGGTTGATAGTATGATTCAATCGGATCCTCGCTCTTGGTAATAATTTCTTATCAATTATGAAGATTCTTTATAATAATTGGTTTAATTTCTATGCATAATGTTGGCATTATATCTATGCAAATACATACTACTAAAGCTAACTTTGTTATTGAAAATGATCAATGATGAAAACAAGGATACAACCAAGACTACCACGTGGTTTTAGAAATCCTTCAACCGACGATGAGCTAAGGGCTCGAAATCTGGATCATTGGAAAACAAGTTACTGTGAGTAGGAACTATGTTTTTTCAAAAAGGAAGGCTTTTTTCTGTGCGCCAGTGCCAGATGTTTAATGATTAAATTTTGTTTACGGTTCTGTTTAGGCATGTGATCAAGTGGTCTATTAACACCACTAACCTGATCACCATCAAATGTTAACAGAACGGCCAATAACAGAAATACTGACTCCCAAACAAGATAAAACATCGTCAGGACTTTTAGAGCTACCTGGTAATGACAATGATCATATCTTAGAATATTAAATGTTATCTATTACAATAGCATCCTCATCATTCAAATTATATTATTATAATATTTTCAAATTTAGAAGGCTTGATACATGTAGAGAATAATTTGGTATATCGCCTCTGACCTGAGAGTCTTACGGTACAACCACAGTTACAGATCACCATTAATGTACCTCATGGCTACAGCAATTTTTAAATGTATGTGATGTGTCTGTAAACTTAATGGAATTAATGTAATTGATTAACATTGATTGTTTAACCCAGCCACCAGCCACTAGTGTGCTATATACCCCAGACCTGGGGCAAGTGAGTAGTCTGAGGAGTTAGTGAGAATTGAGAAGATTCAACCCTGAGAAGTATTGAGTATTTTGAGGGAGTGAGTATGACTAGACTTCTGTTTGTATTGGATAGTGACGACATTCTGGTGAAGGAATATCAAATACTACCAATGCCAGGCATGGTGATTCTGAAGTGTGACAAACGCTGTAGCTGGGGAAGGGCCCATTGGTGTAATTGTTGTCTCTTAAACTTACCACATTATATGGTGTCAAACTTCTCCAAACTGACACTGTTAATAACTAGACATCCATTATGGCAAGACAGTTTACAATTTTATTTACTCGAAAGGAAAAAAAAGAGTATAAAGTGCAAAATAAAACTACATATATACTGTTCATACAGGTATTTCGAAAATAACAATAAAAACAACTAACCTGATTGATTTCATCAACAAATCTAAATGGCACTTTAATTATGTTTTGAAGCGATAAGAGGAAAATTGCGGTTGTAAGAGATCTTTCTCCCCCACTTTGCACATAGGCATTTAACTCTTGCAGTGGTTCATCATTCCTGAATTTTACTTTGATACTGACGCCATAATTTTCATAATCCTCCTAAAAACACTTGCAAAACAATTCAAATCATCTATTTTCTGTAGCATAATTTTAAAACAGTACATACCGGATCTTTTCCATGATCAAGTTCAACAGAACCACTACAACCCAAAAAGCTCAAATAATCAGAAAACTTTAAATTAATTCCATCCAACAAAGCTAGAACGGTGGTGAACCAGTTTTCTTTTAATGCATTCAACTCTTGCTCCTCAGAACCAATCATAACTTCCATTTTTTCTACCTCGCCCCTCAGTTTTGAGACAATTTCTTGTTGCTCTTTATAATCGGATAAAATCTTTTAAATAAAATGCGAAAAAGATTAATAACAGCATTTGTAAAATATCATTAACAAAATAAAAAAAATCATTTTTACTTTTTTACTAGCTGCCCTGATTAAATCCACTTCATTTTCTAACTGTAATATACTTTGCTGTAATTCGTCAATATTTTCGGCAAATTGCGAAAACTGAGGTGCATATTTTTTAATAAACTTGTCATCATCAGGCGTCAATCCGTCTGTTGATTTTCTTGCTTGGTTTAGAAGAAATTTAACTTCATTCTTTAAAGACAAATATTCCTTTTTTTTATTTTCCAATTTTTCCTAAATCGACCAAAATTATTAAACAAATCAAATTTCGTGATTTCAGTCCATAAAGAAAATTACTGACTACAAGTTCATTTTTTTTCCTTTTGATTGATGCACTTTTTTTTTCTTTCTCGGTTAATACCCGTGTGATTTGGTCATGTTCTAAATTTTTCAGACTTAAGGATATGTTATTTTTACTTTGTTTATTAACAATTGTATTCAGTTGTTTTTGAATTAAAACGGATTCTTTCAGACAACTCTAAAAAATATTACATCAGAAATCAAATTATAGGGGGAACAGCAAAATAAAATAATATAAATAAATAATACCTGGACCAACTGGTTTAATTGATCCATTTCAACATTAACATCTATTTTATTATCTTCCATTAACTTAAGTTCTTCTTCTTTCATTTTTAATCGAACTGTTGTGGTTTTAATATGTTCAATAGCTATATGAAGGTCACGTTTTTTATTTTTTAAATGATTCATCTGTACATCCAATTCTTTATACTTTTGTTGTTTCTCAACCAAATTATGTTTTATAACTTTTACGGATTCCTTTTTTTCATTTAACCTGAAATTTATTCCAAAAGTTAAAGAAAAGAAAAAAATATTGTGTCCTACCATACTCTAAAAACACTCACGCTACAGTTAATGAATCTATTAATTCATCATTGATAGGAAACGAGAGGAACCTCGCTGAACCGATTTCCTTTACATTATGTATCACTTCTCCAGAAAATCTAGACTTTTTTGACTGAATACATTTGTCTCCTAAAAACCAAAAATAAATCATTTAAAAAGTTTATTATTCAATTGTACTATTTGAAATTTAAATTTATTAACACTTTCAATTCGGAGGTCTTCCCTGAGACCACTTATAGTTATTATTTAAAAACTATCTAAATATAATAAATATCAGTATTCTATAATTGTACAACAAAATCAGAACTATAGCCAATTCTAGAGAAAAGAATGGCGTACACAGATTTGTATGACATATTGACTGTACTCAAAATAATGATATAAACAATATTAAAAAGATAATAGTATATTTGCCTGCAAAGTAGTATTTTATTTGATGAGGTATACTACTGAAATTCTGTTCGACCTCTGCTGAACCAATAGGCACTTCATGAACTCTAAATTTCTGGCATAGCATCTTCAAAATAACTGGTGGTGCTTTAATAAAATCTAGCACATAATCAGTGAAGCCAAACTGTCTAATAAAAATCACATTAATTAGTAAAAACATCAAATAGAGGGAATGTATGAATTTATAATTACTTAATTTCTGACAAGGGCAGAGTTGGTGGAAACATAGTTCTTATATCCCTGTCTGGAGGGCTGCAATGAAGCGTATTTATTTGTAAACCTTTATCTCTTATTATTTCAAAAAATTTACTCATATCCTAAAAACCTATCTTGTTAGAAAAATTACAAATTATTATTTATGAAAATGTAAATAAATGAATTAACCTCAGGATCCTCACAAACAAAAGCGATTAGATCCCTGTACCTAATGCATTTTTCTACATATTTGGCTTTATCTGCATTGTTAACATCTATCTGAAAAATAAAAGCAAATATATTAAATTTAATATACACAATTTTTCAAAATGTTAAATTTATCACACAGGCGGGATTCAGACCCATGAACTTTGGATAAATACTCCGATGCTTTACCACTTGAGCTACCGTGACTTAGATCGCCCATACCACAAACTTCTTTTTCATATATATAATAATACATGATAATACAAAGTAAAAATGAATGGTTTAAATATAAAAACAATTCACTCATTTCGTGATCCGCTTGACCAATTAAATCATTACAATTAATTAAGGTTTTTAGTTGAGATGAAAAACCTTAATTAATCATAAAAACAATGTTTTATAAAAATATTGTTTACAGTTAATTTCAAATTTTATTGGATAACAAATACATAAAAAACACTCACTTCTAAAAACACAGGGCCATAAATTTTCTTCTTGAATTGATGTTGATTGTTCAGAAGCCAATCATGGGCAGTGTGTAAATCTGGATTCTCATGCAACAATTTCATTTTACTTTCTTTGATACTGCATGCTTGTTGGTATTTGTAATCGATAACTGCAAAACTTAAGTTAATAAAATCCCTCATTCTTCATCCCTCTCATTCAAGTACAATTCAAACCTTTTAATTGTTCATTTACATTTGAATAATTTTGCTGTAGAGTATACTCCTCTTTCCTTAGATCACACTTTTTATTTCCAATCATTCTTAATTCTTCTTCTATACTTTTTAACTCTGACGTTAAGTCATTTTCTAAAAATTACATACACAACACATTAAGCTAGTTTATTTAGTATATAAATAAATTCTAAGACATTGTGATGAAGTTGGCTAAGTAATGTCAGTAATATCTTAAATCTGCCTACTTTCACTTTGCTCTGTATGACACATTTACATCTATAAATGAATACAATACAAATGAAAAAGATTTGATTGATAAAACTGGTGAGAATATGCAGATCAGATGATCAGGCAACATATACACATAAGTAAATATTATACAAAATATAATCATTGTTGCATACCTGTAGATTTTGGAAGTGTTCTAGAAATGATGTCCAGCTGTTTCTTACACTCTTGTATTTCTTTTTCTCTATTTCTCTCTGACTCAATCTTTTGATCGAAATCAATTTTCGAAGTGTTTAACTTACTTTTTTGTTTTAAAAGTTTCTTGACCATTTCTTTTTCTTCGTGTTTTAAATTTGTCAATTTGTGTGTCTAAAAAAACAGGTCCTTCATTGTATAATCTTTAAACAAGTCAATATTTTTAAAACTTAATTTGGATTTAATAGTTGAGAAATACTGTTATGAAACATGTCATGACAAAGTTTTTGCTATTTTAATTTTTACTTAACCATTCAATTAAAGGAGATTTCATTTTCATAAATATTTAATTATTTTCATGTTCATATTACCATGTCATCAATTTGTTTCGTTATGTTTGTTTCAAGCTTCAATGTTGATCTTATGGCCTCTTGAACTGGTTTTACCTCAGCATCGACTTGCACACACAACTCTTCAACTTTTTTGACTTGTTCAGAAAACTAAAACCATTATGGTTAATGATTCTGAAAACATAAGTATATAAAGAATGCGTGACCCAATAAATTACCTCCACCCTATGTTTTTCTTTTTCTTCGAATTGTAACCAAAGAACTTTCTTCTTCATATTATCAAGGGTTGCAATTGCATTTTGCCTTTTTCTAAATGTGTTCACTTCTTCTTCTAATCTACCATATAATAAATAAATACAAATCACACAATGAAAGCCTCTTTTATTATGTAATGAGTAAATAAGTTACTTTGCCAGTTTGTCTGCTTCAATTTGATTTTTGTGTTTAATATCTAACAAATTGCGTTTGTTATTGATGGAATTGGATTTGAAAGATTTCAACTTTTCAAAACACTCAAACAACTGTATATTTCCTATAGAAAATTAAATTAAAACTAGGAAATTTTAAAAAAGTCTGGTTTTTATTACCAACACATTTTTGTGTAGCATCTAGCAATTCCACTTTATTCATTTTAGCAAAATCTTGAACTCTATCTTGAGGCAAAATTTGACATAAGTTATTTATGTCTATGTTAAATTTGGATAAGATTTCTTCAATCTAAAATAAAACAAATGTAAAAATGAATTAACACACTTAAGATCTTAAATCCAATACCTTTTTGAATGCAACTTGCTTTCCTTGAAGAAACCACTGGGAATTGTTTCTATTTATTATCTTCCTTTTAATTGAATAGTTTCTTCCATTTGTATTGAATAATTCAATTTCAATTATTGCTTCTTTAGAACCTCTTTTAATGTAATCTGCCACCTCGAAGAATATTTAATTATGTTTAATACAAATATCTTGGCCATTTGGACATGACATTTTTTTATGTATTCCTAATAATTACTAAATATTTAAAGCAAACTCTTCTTACAAATGGTAAAAATCTTAATTAACTACTGATGTTTCATTTCAAAACAAGTGTATGAATTAAAATAATTTTAGCCTTTAAGTATATCCCAGATGAATCTAGTATGCCTATTCTTTTAAATTGTAAAAATATGTATTATTAACCTTAACTAACCCTATTAGAATAAAATAAATCAAAATGCTTTAATTGTAGTACTGAATATTTGTACACTAGCATGATCATCTCCTTTCATCCTAATCTAGCTTTTCTTAGCATTGTCTTAGACATGTTTCAGCACTGGCTGTTTCCAGGGGTTGATCTGACTTTGTCAAGTTACTAATTTCATGAACAATAAGTTTTATAACAAATTAGTGCAAAAATTTCAAATTGCACATCTAATTGTTGGAAAGAAGAAGAGTATCCTGACTGATCATGAGAGGTGTGCCACAAAGGTCGGTATTAATCCACTTTTTTATGTAATATATAAAAATGATTCCCGAGAATGACACATTACTAGTCAATTAATCACAGCTCCTCACTGAAGATGGTGCAATGACATTTTTTCATTTACTTTTCATTTCATTCATACATTTTTCTTTTACACTGAAAAATGCACTGATACGACTGCGAATAAATTATCGTTATCTACGGGGATTTGTACATGGCATAACTATGGATAACAAGAACCGTGGATAATAGGAAACACCTTAAATCTGAGGCTTCAAAGCATTTTCTTCTATCTGCATGTTAATTAGACACTTTCTGTATCTCATATTTTTTTTTTTTTTTTTTTCACTAAGAAAAATACCATATTTCCCCATAACCTGGGGAAATACAACAACCTGATGATATCTTGGGTGCCAGGGCACAGGGGAATTTTGGGTAACGAGAAAGCAGACAGACTGGCCAGAGGAGGATCTGCAAGACCAGCCATAGGCCCCGAACCTATTCTTGGGATAACAAAAACAAATAGAGAATCCTCCATCGCAGAATGGATCCAAGCAAAACAAAAGGAGAAGTGGATAAACTCTAGCGGTGCTAGACATAGTATGATGATGGTACACAGATGGCTCCAAAACAAACTAAGGAACCGGATCAGGCGTTTTCTGTACAAGCCCAAAACATGAGCAATCAAACTCATTAGGGAAGTACACTTCGGTCTTTCAAGCAGAAATACATGCCGTCAATGCTTGTGCCCTGGAAAATCTAAAAAAAAAGGTCACACTGACAAAAAATCCTCATAAGATCCGATAGCCAAGGAGCCATTAGAGCATTAGCATTTAAAAGAATCACATCAAACTTAGTCAGTGAATGCATCCAAAATCTCCAAAACCTGGGGAAACACAACAACCTGATGATATCTTGGGGGCCAGGGCACAGGGGAATTTTGGGTAATGAGGAAGCAGACAAACTGGCCAGAGGAGGATCTGCAAGACCATACATAGGCTCCGAACCTATCCTTTGGATAACAAAAACAAACATAGAATCCTCCATCGCAGAATGGATCCAAGCAAAACAAAAAGAGAAGTGGATAAACTCTAGTGGTGCTAGATACAGTAAACTTATGATGAAACAACCCTCACCAAGATTGGCGAAAACACTGCTGCAATTGGAGAGGGCAAAAGTCAGAGGAGTGGTGGGACTACTAACCGGTCACTGGTATCTGAGAAAACATCTACACAACATGCGTATATACAGTGATGTTCCCATCTGCAGATTATGTAATGAGGAGGAGGAAACAGCCACGCATATCATCTTCGAATGCGAAGCAACAGCTCAATGGAGGTTTAACCTAACGTACGAAAAAGACTCAGGGTACCAAATTACAGCAATAACAGTCAATGACCTGATACTTCTAAGAAGAAGAATTGAGTCTATTGACTGAACTAAGGAACTATGAAGGTACAATAAGCCAGAAGGCTGCAGTGCCTTGGGAATACAAACCCTGCTTCCCAGTATCCTTTCCACCACACCATACCATACCAACCATAATATGCTTTTATTTGAGTTTCACTTGATATCTGTGTAGCTAGGTCTCTTAATAGAAATATATTTGAATTTAATTTTTTTTATTAGATCTGTACAGTGGGCAGTCCAATTTAGTTTAGGGTCTATTTTAATGCTTAGTAGGCTAACCAATTCAGGATTTGTTTGGAGTTTTGAGAGGTCTCTTTGGCTTAGTGTAAGGATTTTTACTTTTATTGTTATTGAGGCATAATCCATTTTTCTCAAACCATTTTTTGAGTTCATTTAAAGTATTCTTATTCGTTATATGTGCCTTCACTCGGGATTTATCAGACACTGAAGTGGTGTTGTCATCTGCAAAACCAGTCAAGTGTATACTTGGAAAATTTATGTAGAGATCATTTGTGAAAATTAAGTAGACTATAGGACCCAATACAGACCCCTGCAGAACTCCCATGTTGATCTTTTCAAAATCAGACAATTGTTGGTTATATTTAACTGCTTGTATCCTGTTTGACAAGTAAGATTTTATCAGCTTTATCGCAGAATCAGAAAAGTTGTAGCATTTTTAATTTGGAAATGAAAATCTTATGCGAAACAATCAAATGCTTTGCTAAAATCTAGAAAGCTAGCTACAGAGTAAAGCCGGCATCAATCCCCCTTAGATGGCTATCTCCAGTGTAGGAATTTTTAAAACGACCTCTGCACAGTTCAATCAACATTTGCATACTCTTCAAATCCACAAACAAAACTTGGATTTGGAGGTTGATTTTCTTCATATAAGGGATTGAAATAACAATCATGGTAAGAACTACCTTTGGGGGAGAGTCAGATCACCACCTCCTGGGGGAGAGGTAGTAAGATTCTTTTTCATCTGCACCTAGCATATTATCAGACGCTGTTTGTTTACGAGAAACACTGCTGATCTCATAAGTAGAAAATGCCTCAAGGCCGAAGAATCAAGACAAGTTTCTTCCCCACTTGCCCCTTCCGAAGGGTGGACCAGCTTCAGGCGCCTGACCATGCACAACACGTCAAGAAGCTCAATGAACAGAAATTATTTCCATCAGGCATTCTTCGCATTGGATTTGGTCATGCCATCACTCCCGAGTGGAGGGGCTCGTCCTACTAAGAACTTCTGACAGACAGAATTTTGATTTTAATACTATCACCCCTAGTGGAGCCCAGCCGTTCATTAAAGATTACTCACCATCAAACTATTACAAATCTTTAACTTTTACCTCCTCTCTAACAATCACAACTGACAGAATGGTAACAAAGATTGATCTTGGGGATGGGATCCATCTGTCACACGGGGGTGTTCGACACTGTTTACCAACACCTGTCATGAAATCTGTCTGTCATATTATGATGACGCAGGACAGGACGTGTGTGAAACACGAGATATACTTTTATTGAAATCGTGTAATTCAATATTGACTTACGTTGGACGATCTGCCTATGACAGTCGGCTTGCCTCCCAATCCTAGAATCACAGCGCAAAGAAATGTGGATTTGCCTGTTCCGTTCGGTCCGAGTATTATATTGAGCTTCGCCTTCGGATAAATTTCCACATTAGAATAAGTCCTAAACATTAACAACAAGTTACAAAGACGGAACAAGATTCAAAAAGTGAAATACTGACACAAAATCGACCAGTGTGATTCTCACGATCATTCCATTTGACATGGGCTGTTCATTGTCGTAGGCCGAAGATGCCATTGTCAGAAACGATGTACTATCAACAATTCATAAACTTCAGTTGGAAACGAAGATCAAAGTTAAGTGTCAACTAAGTTATGAAACACCGGCTGACATTTCCCTGTTTTTCGCATGTATTGGGCGCCACAAGTTTAGAGCCAGCACCATTTGTATTTAAGGCTAGGTTCAACAGGAGAATATTTCTTCTCCTTAAAATATATTTTAAAGACATTATTACAACTAATTTATTTTATTGATTTATATCTATTTAGTTAAAATATCGTTCATATTATTTCATCATCAGTTTTCAGACAGGAAGAAAATTTTTTGTTTGACAAGCTAAGAAATACAATGTCAGTTTGTTTTAAATTTGGCAAAGTTTTCACATATATCAATTCCACATTTGTATAAATATATTAAATAATCAAAGAGACTTTTTATTTTACTTTGGATTGTTCATTTTTGAGATTTGATCTTGGTTTCAGGTTCCAATGTCCGTTGGGGCACTGGACAGTAACCTCTGTCTGTCCCTGCATTCTGCAGGATACTTTAGTATTTTAGTACGTTAGATCTCTATGTGACAGTGTAGTTGTCAGTCGTCTGATTTAAGAAAAAATGCTTCTTGAGCTTTAATTTATTCCGACTTTACATCTTTGGCTGACAATTTCGAAACCGAACTATTTTTAATCTTTATGTATTTCGATCGTCGCGTTCAATTTTTTCGTGTTTTTTTTATATAAAACAAAGTGTGAGAGGCAGAGGTGGAAGACAAACGATTTCGTTTATTATAACAAGAAAAAATATATAAGAGGTTGTTAATTAAAATATAAATACAAGGATGGAACCGAGCGACGATTTAGACAGGTAAAATTCAGTTCAAATTTAAATCTATAGATTTAAAATGTAAACAAAAAAAATCACAGCGAAAATATGTAAAATAGTAACAATCATATGGCATTTACCTGTTATCGTACCCAAAAGAAATGTTGATTTTTAAATTATTTTAGTTTTTAAAATAAAACTATCTGTGTATTTGAGGGTGGTGAATTACTTTACTAAGCCTGTGGTTCATTCCTTACCTAAGCATGGTACATATGGTTCTATGTACTATTGTTATGTTCTATGTACTCTATTCTAAAAAGCATAAGTAAACATTCACTGTACACACAGTATTAAACATTCAGTTCTCCTCCGAGGGCCTATTTCGTAGTGCTACTAATAGTATTACTTAAAGGTGGCACCAGAAATGCGGCATTCACCGAACATTTACCAAGTCTCGAGATGCCTGCGCTTGTAAGTTCGTACAACCAGCCAGTTTGTGCAGAAGCAGTGAATATTCACCAAGTGCCATGCAAGTCCTCATCTTACTACCAATCTAGATGGACAACAGTGAAGCTGCGATTACTGTTTGGTGCTACAAACTCAATCACAGAGTACTGTTGCCCATTCCAATTTTTGTAATTAAGAAGAGAAGCATTCCAAATTATTGGTTTGGCTACTCCACAACTTACATTGGGCCAATCCGTACCTTACAAATAGCAATGTTGATTGATGATTACAGTTGATATCTGGACAATACAGTTGGTGATTGATACAGTGGATGCTTTGAGTTTGGCTACTTCATGAATGTGTTCACTTTGAAGCGGACAAAAAAATTGACAATTAGACGAGCTTTGCGAGCTCCAAATATTGTTGCTCAGCAAATGACCAAGCACACTTCCCCACTAGTTGGAATTTGGCGAATCACGCATGCCTGGAACCGCCTTAAAATGTACAAGTTTACGAACAACAAAGTACAAACATCAATATTTTCAGTTTCATAATGGCGAAACATTGGCACGATAAAGAAAATGTTTTTCTAAAACCTACGACACACCAGACCGCATCCCATGATCTCCGAATAATACTACAAATGACATTATACAAGCAAAAAACTACAAAAGAGCAAGTCAATTGTTCAGTTAGAGAAAGAAACCAACAAACACAATTAATTGAATGGGTGCTGTTGTGTACCAATGCTGCTTCATTTTCAACTGGTGCATAAGTCAGAATCAGTAATCTATTATTCCACACACATTGAGGAAAATGGGCCATATTGAAAAACGAATTTATAATTTTGGTGATGTTTTCCGGTCATGGTACAATTGTGTGAAATAATCAAGTATCGACTACATTCACCATACATTTACACAAATGGAAGTTTTACTTATACCACGTCATCTACTGTCTGGAACTTGCTACCACTTTCCAGCCAGTGTATTGCAGAATGTATGTTTTGCTGAAAGTACTGCGCTTTTGTGTTTTCTATTAGTCCAGTATATCCATCAGTAAAGACTTTAAGTCTGTACGATGACATTCTGAATCATTCTTTGAATTCAAAAACAATTGCCAAGTCGTGATCCATGTTCTGAAGATTGTACTATGTCTAGTAACATTTTGTTGAGCTACACAGTCAGTGATTGGTTCGTTATCACTGAAAAGTATATCCTCTTGCATTGTAATGAAATGCATGAGCAAAAGTAATCTAACATTTGGAAGTTTACACTAATAATTTGATAATACAGGCAATCTGAGCCTTCTATTAATAGTAAAGACAGGTATTTTACTAAATAGTTGTATTGTAAGTAACTGTGTATGAAATGAAATAACATAATAATAGTGAAATGAAACAGAATTCATTGTATTTTAAACAATTTTTCTTGTACTCTCAATTTTACAACTTTTACATCATCCTTCTGTACTTGGTGTGGTGTTTCTTGTGTGCAACTCTCAACACGACACAAGAATGACACATCTACATGGAAAACAAACACTTTGAGCCCTAAGGATGATCTCAATAAAGATCGAAACGTTGGCATGATAAAGAAAATGTTTTTCTAAAACCTACATCACAACAGACCGCATCTCACAACCTCTAAATAATCTTCTGTACTTTTTTATTATGATTCTTTTATCCCAATTTTTAACTATTGTTTAATAATTTTGAAAATTTATATATTTGTTTAATATTTGACAAAATATTTAGCAATTCTGTAAATAACAAAACTGTTTTATTTATTTTAGCCCAATGAAAATTAAATATTCTTCAATGAACTACTGTGACTCTCCAAAAACATCGCTTCTGTTTGCTGCACAGAGCAGATCTTTTGACAATAAATCAAAAAGACAGCTCAAGAAAGTTGTTAACCCCTTTGTTCCTAGAGTTCAAAGCTTAGAAAAAGATACTTGTTCTCCAACACTTTTTGTAATTAGTCAGAGTCCAAAGGTAAAAAAAAGTTTCTGCCTCCATCAATTGCTGAATTTTTTAACCTTTTTTTGTTTAATTTGTAGAATGAAGAATTCAGTTGGAACATTGACGACATATCTAAAATTCAACCTGCTGTCATCGAATCGCCTCAATATATTACTTTGGAATATGACGAAAAGACTGAAACAAAAGCTCAAGAAGTAATTGAGAAGTAAAGGATTTTTTACTCCTGGTAGAAAAAAGTCTACATTTCTGTCCTTTTTTTACTGTTTTTATCTAGGCTAGTTTTTGTGTGCAGATTCTCAATCTAGTTAAGCAAATTGTCACTTGTAGTAATACATTAATGTTGTTCATACATTTTCATGCAAGAAGCTTTACATTTAAATATCGAACCATTCGGTGTTTTGACAAAAGATCAGGCCTCTTTACAACACTATTTTTCAAATTATAAATTCTCAAATAAAACACCAATGATAATGCTGGGATTCAAACTCAGAACAGCTAACATGGTAAAAAAAAATCAGGAATCAAGTGCCTTACAATTCAGACACTCTGGTCCCTCGTAAAGTGGATCTATTTCAAAAACTTTTAAAGGCCAAAGTTTGCCTTTAGGGTGTTGTTTATTCAGTGTAGAGGTCAAGTCACTATTGTATCTTGAGATGGTATGAAGGCACAGGGGTCAGGAGTATTTGATTCTAAAAACCCTAATAAGAAAAGGATCTGCCACACTTTGGACAGTACTAAACCCTTTTTCTATCAAACAGAATAGATCTAAGAGACTAAACAATGGCAGGACCCTGATGTTAAAATAATAAATAATTTTAGTAGGTTTCTGCACATGCAATTTAAAAGAATAAAATGTAGGGTCATTCAGTGTGATATGTTCAGTTTCTACAGTGAAGCAGAAAGACCTGATATATCAGATTGTAGAAGTGGAATCAATATAACTAGTGCAACTGGGAATATAATAGAAGTGGAACTACCAGTACTGGGCAGTGTCTAATATACAAAAGCTTTTAAATGGTGCATTATGAGCCCCTTGAAAAAATATGTTGTTTTGGAAAAATATCCAACAGCAAATGTTGCTAACAGTGACATTTAAAAAATTATTAACAGTCATAATAGCTAGAAAATGCATAGACCTTTATTTCACCATAATAAAATTATTTCTTTAATAATTAACCAAAAAATTTCCATGTAGATATTTTTCGGAGACACACAGTATTGTATCACCTATTAATTCAGGAATTGGACATTTTGATTCCTCTGCCCAATCGACTCCCTGTGATATAAACAAATACAAGGCAAGGAGCAGTTCTCCTGCTGTCTCTTCAACCCCTTGTGCTAAATTTTCAGAAAGGAGAAGAATAATTAAAGTAGACGGTGGGTTTTTGCATATGTTTTATATTTTATTTCTTATAGTGCCTTAACGACAATGTTGTTTTTGGAAATACAGCTGCTGAACAGACTGATCTATCTTTACCTCCTGTTCTTCCACCTGATATCGAAGCTATTCTGAAACCTTATTTTCGAACTAATAATTGTGTAAGGAATCTATTTGCATACATATTATTATTAGCATTTGTTTTAATAATTTATTTGTTAGGATAATGTAGAAAATGAAGAAAATATGAATAACTCAACTTTGAGAAGAAAACTATTTGTTGACAAGGACAATGAGACTTTAAGTCCTGTTAAGTATGTCAACTACTTGTTTCAATATGATTAAAAAAATTATTTGTTCTAATTATTTGTTCAGAGCTTCTTTAGCTGAGAGCCCTCCACTTGAATACTCTGTGAAATCATCAAGAATAGTAAGTATTTATGTAAGTATTTACATGATTCAAAATGCCTTTAGAAAGTATTTTGATTATTGTTTTGGCTTTACAAATAAATAAAAATTTTAATTTAGAATTGGAGCAACTGTAATGACAAAACAGACGTGATAATCGAATTATCAAGCCCTGACTTGTCCCCAATCAATTCAAAATCAAATAATGAATCGTTTGCCAGTGTAAATACATCTTTACGCTTTGATAATAAACTGTCAGGTAAGATATTTTTTCAGGGTCTTGTTTATAAACAACAGTTCATATTCTTAAATGTTATCCATTTTCAGGTAATCATTTAACACACAATGACAAAAACGAACTAATATGTGAACTTCTGGCAGAACCATTAGGGAGCAATCATTGTGGGATTTTTAATTCTACGACTAAAACAATGCAAAAAAGCATGTGCAATGATCCCCAAGATACAGGGTATAGTACAATGGACGATTTGATTTTCCACTGAAATAATTTTGACATAAAAAATAAACTACATTTAATACTGCTGTCTGTAAACTCTTTTTTGATAATGTCCTTTAAAAAATTCTAAAAATATATACAAAGTAAATCCATTTCAGCAAGATTGTAGTATTGGGACACCCATTATTTATAATTGAAATGGATCTATATTTACCATTTAGTTGTTATAGATTGTGCTAGTTCTGTTCTCTGATCTTCGCTGGATTGTGTTTAATAAAGCTAAACATTGAGTTAAAGCACAATTTTAATTTATTAAATTTAAAAATAAAGTTTTGAGGTACATTCATAGATATCATCTAAAAGGTTAATCAAACAATACAAAAGAAAAACAAGCCTTGGTAAATACAATAAAATAATGAGTATACATTTATCATATTTATTTGCTGGTGGTCTGTGGTAATGATAGCCTTGAAAGAAGGTCCAACACAACAGAGGATTGCTACTCTTCTTCTTTTTTTGTTCGTTGTCTTTCCTTCAATTGATTGATCCGAATAGAGAAATAGTGAACTGTTTCAATAGTTTATTCATTACTGCCAATGCATAATTTAAATTTTCAAATTTGAAACAGCGATGATTAGGTCTTAAAATTGATTTTATGAGATAAAGGAGTGTTGTTGAACGCAATAGCGAGAGAAATGTTTTGCGGGATGGTTAGGGGTAAATTAAAATTTTTTAAATTAGCCAGTCCATTCCTAATTAGGTGATGGAGAGGGATATCACTATGAAAACAGCATACTTAACATTCATAAAATCCGGAACACAAAAAAATCTAATTGGGCAGAACCAAATGAATAGGTAGGTAAAACTCGAGCCAAATTCAAAAGTAATAATTTGAACATTACTGATTAATAAATTAATGGGAAGAGTGAGGTTTTAGCCTGCACATATGTGCAACAATTTGGATATGTTGGGGTTAATTTTTTATAACTGGAGAGTGGAGACAGATGTCAGGTTGAGCGATCTAGACAGCTTTGAAATTTAATATTGGTGGCTAAAAGAAAGAAAACCCGGATTCGCATAGGTAAGTTGTATCAAATGGAAGAAGAAAACTTTTTGCTTTTTCAACAAGTGGTTGAAATTTTTTGTTTCCCAGACGGAATCAAAAATAGTGGCAAGTATCGGACTTGACAGTAGATTTTAGCGTGGAATCTGAAGTAATATTCATATTCACTTGAAGATTTGGTTCTCTTGTCGCAATTGAAAACAGTTTTGACTACTCATTCAAGATCGTGCAGCATTGTCTCTCAATCTGTTGGGAAGTAGAACTCAAAGGAAATCTCCCAACTTTGAGAGTGTCTACATATTTCATTAATCAATGTGCCATTCGCAAGCTCCCATTTGTTTTTTTTTAATCATTTACCACAGGAATATACCACCTCTTCCTTTTCAATAGATTCATCCCAAAACTTTTTTTTAATGCATGAACATTGCCATTTGCATCGAAAATTGTTAAACTATTCCCATGCAAAGAAAGACTCTCAGAAATACGACAGTATACATTGCCGTTTCTCATGATTGAAAAAGGCCAATTTGACAACTGTGGTCCATCAACAAGATAAGACTTCAAAACATAATACCTGTATTCGTTCGCCACTTCACTTCTGTATGGAAAATCAGGGAATGATGAAGGATTGCCATATCATCACATAGTACTGTGAAAAGTCTTGACTTCAAAGGCCATGACTTGAAATAATTAATAATTTGTTCCATTCAAAACTTTGTTTTGGCGGACTGGCATTTCATAGCTGTAGCATGTATGTGAAGAACACAAATCACTGCTACTGTAAAATAAAATTTAAAAAAAAGAACTCGTTTTCTCTACTCATTGTTATTAGTTTTTTAAATTTTATTATTCATTCTAAATTTATTGTAATTATTTTTTCTCGAAGCCCGCCGCAAAACACAGTTTGGGAAGCACCCGTCTAAGGAAAGTGAAATCAAATCTACTATCAAAAACTGTAAAAACAGCAATTTATTTGTTTTGCAGTCGACATTATAAAGAATTCTCAATATTCAGTAATTTTCATTTTTTTATCTAGTCAAGAGACAAATTCTAATAATTAAAGGTGATGTAGTCAAATATCATAGACCAATATACAATCGTTAGGTAGTTGCAGAACACTAAACTAATTTAATTTAAATATAAAGAAAATATTTCGTGGCTTGTAAATTTGTATTTGAAAAGACAGTGTCAATTAAAAAAACACTGGCGATTTAAATAAAAAAACTGTTATTAAAGTCAATTTTTGAGGTAGGATTGGTCGGGAAGTAAGCGGGATATTACTGAGATAAACAGTTAACGGTTATCTTGTATTTGGAATTTTGGATCAGGGTGTAAGTGTTATAAAGCATCGATTTTATTTCTAGTACGAATTACAAATAATATTCTTCATGTTCTATTTAGAAAAAAGAATTTCATTGACCGATGGCTTCACTTGATCGATGTCAGTCAAGAAAAAGATCGGGCGAATTACACGTAAGATTCGACCAAAACTTTGTTTTCTTATATTCGTTGTGTGGTTTTGGCGTTTTTACTAACTGTGCTAAAAAAATGTTATTCCTCTTTAGTTGATTTTCGGCCCGATGTTTTCTGGTAAAACGTCCGAGCTTTTAAAGAGGATCAGACTGTACAAGCTGTCTGATAGTGCGTGCGTGATAGTGCGATATGCCAAAGACACGAGGTACACGAGGCACATAGCCACACACGATGGGCTTGCCACCCAGGCGATACCTGCCGTCGATCTGGCCAGTGTGATGTGCCAAATTCAAGAGTACGACGTTATCGGGATCGACGAAGCCCAATTTGTAAGAACAATAGAATTTTAGAACACACTAATAGTTATATGTTAATTTAAAACAATCACTATTTAGCATTGAGATGTCTTTTCAGTTTACAGATATTGAGGTGTGCGTCAGACAGCTTATTGAAATGGGGAAAATAGTCATTGTCGATGGGTTGGATGCAACTTATAGAAGGACGGCATTTCAGAACATGCTCAATCTTGTTCCGCTTTCATGTTCTGTTGTCAAGCTCTCGGCTGTGTGCATGTCATGTGGAAGCAAAGCTTCATTCACAAAGAGGATAGGAATAGAGACAGATGTGAGAACATTACTTTAACTATTTATTTAAAGCAATTTAAATACAGCATTCCTTTGATTTGTATCTTTGAAGTAAATTAAGATATGTAGTGCTGTCAAATCGTTCTTTTTTGTCTGTCTACTTAAGTAAAAAGACAGGGAAGGGCTCATTGATTTGCACTTTCTTCGAAACTTCGAGAACGTCATCGGGAAGCACTACAACGACAAAAAATGCAGAAAAGTGGTTTTAAGGCATATACTCAAAAGCCACGGTCTACCAGCACCAGATGGAATTTTTAATTCATTATATAAAAAAATAAACATTCACATTCACAAATATAGGGAAGGAACCATCTACAGAAAGTAATACCACTAAAGAAGAAGATAGAAAATATGAAGAAGACCCTGCACAACTGGATGAAGACGAGCTAGCAGGCAAATCAGACGAACCAAATAGATAGTCTGACGTCTTCGAAATGCCATGACAAAAGCACAAAAATAGTGAGCAAGTATCAAATTCAATTGGTCGCTTAATTGAAAATTTTGAAAAGAGAGCTCGTAATCGCGAATTAGCAAGAACCTCCTTCTACAGATTCTCAAGTCCTCCAGCAAGATAAATTACAGAATAACGATGCTCTTTATCAATTTTTTTTTGTCAATGTACAACAAGACAAAAGGCCTTACAAAGAAGTATCAGAGACAAGTCTGTAATAAGATTTATCAAGCAGTGACTCAAGCAGAGGAAGAGAACGAACTTGAAAACACTGGAAAAACGTTTTCTTTAACTCCCTTGTTTTCAGATGAAACTGAAAGTACCTCTTCCAACTCTGCTATGGTGCTGTCACAATACCCAAGCTTTTTCATCCAGCCTGTTGCATTAGATCAGGACTGTTTACAAGAAACTTTGCCCTCGGGATTGTTACAGCCTCTATAAATAATTTTCTTTAATAATTTTTTTTTTGGTTTATGTTATCATATTACCCATGACTTCTCAAACTACCAGCTACCATGACCAGCGTGAGTGGCAAGCAAATAAGGTGGGAGGAAGGGCGGGGAGTTTTCTTCTCTCTGTTAAATTACTGCTTGGATGGACTCCTCATTGGAGGACGTGGATAAAAACCATTCACATCTAGATACCATGGAAAATACATCCGATACTTCCTCGAGGTAGCTGGGGCTAATACACTCTGCTCCCATTCTGACAACCTTGCCGGCCAAACCTGCCGAGACCCGGCCCCACCACCATCCCCCCCCACAACTACCACACTCCCAACAACAGATTCTCACAAATTTTCACATTAACATTTGATCACACCTTGATGTTACATTAATAATTATATTACTATTGCTTCTTTAATAATATTGTAAGGTTAATAAAGTAGTAATGATAAATCAAGTAGTTATGACTTTTTCTTTCAGTTTTTTTTTTCTAATTTACAATCAAAGCACCCTTGAAAATGTTTACCTAAATTCTAACTGTTTAAACCTACGAACTAGGTGGTATTTCGGAAGTAAATCTAAAATCGTACTAGTAACATTATTTACTTTATTTATTCCTCAGTGTAAGATTAATAACAAACATTCTTACCTTAGGCATACAGGCATAATTTTTTTTTCCGATTTTCTTCTTCTTCCTGATCGGTTGTTGAGGTTACATTGCATCCCCGTAATGTCGTTTTTTATTAATACATGCAGTTCAACAAACTGCGTTCAGTTTAGCCGGAATATTTAGCCTAAATACGTTTCCTGGAACTTCCTCCTGGATGCCAAATACTCTCCACGAATACTTCACATGCCTAAGTAGGCACTTCTTTTATTTTATTTTTTTGGATATCAAACACAATAAAACAAATTCCTCAGATTCTAAATCTAGAAGGATTTACCGAAAAGAGGACATCGTCACTGGGTTCAATACGCGGAACCTCGACAAACCTGGAGTGTCGTGGGATGTGTTGGGAAAGACATGTGCTGTCTGTGGGCAGGATTCAATTTGCGGCGGGCCTAATCCCTTGAAGCCAAAAATTGAGTTACAATTCAGAACTGAAAAACAGTTGATTAAAAATAAACATAATAGAAGACAACATTGTTTGAACATGTTAGTTGTTTTCATTGTATTTTTTGATGTGTAAGGAAAGAAATATCTATTAATTGTTAGCTGTTTCGCCAAATAAATTTTAAGAATTTTAACATAAGGATTTGAAGCAGCCTCGACATCCCTTTTAAACTTAACCTGAAGACCTAACAGTCAGATTGGACAATAGGAAGGTGCAGCCAGCTTCAGCAGTGACATAAGAAAAAGGAAAAATTATAAACACTTTTAACAAACAAACACTAACTTTCAACAAAACAATTTATTATCTTAATCTAATATGCAATAACTTAATATAAAATAACAGTTAACAACAAATAAATAAAATAGCTTTAGTTTGTACATTGTCTATAATACTGTCCTTGACTATTTATTTTAAATACTCGGCTAAATTTAAAATAATATTAATCATTAATTACAGATTGAAGTGATTGGAGGGTTTGAAAAATATATGGCTGTTTGTCGGGAGTGCTATAAACAACCTTGTCCAGAGAAATCGTCCCCATTCAAGAAGCTTGAAAAATTGGAGTATAGATTGAACAGGCTGGAAAACATGAATCTTCAGAATTGCAAAAGGGAATTGACTGGATTGTGATATTGATTTTATTATTAGGGTTTTTTAATTAAATATTTTTTGTTTTTAGAAATGTAAGTTTTTGAGACATGAATTTGTAAAACTGTTAAGATTTGTATTTTTGTAATACATAACATTTGTAGTTGCAATGTGCTTATTCCTTTCGGGCTTTGCTCCTGTTTTGAAGTACGTAAGATATGAGAGCAATTGAACCACTCATTATAGTGGAGAGTGTTAAATTAGAGAGTAGAATCAAATCCGCTGAGTCCATCAGAACTGTATATATTCGACCTTAAAATAATATAAAAATATTAATAAATTTTGCATTTTACTTGTATTATATCAGGTTGTACTCTAAGTCATTTTAATAATTAAAATTGGTATTATTGACACTATTTTTATTGGGTAAAATTATCATAAGTGAATTTAGTCAGTAAAAATAGTGTTCTCATTGGAATAAAAGGATAAAAAAAGAAAAGACCATAAATTCAGAAATGATTAATTATTTTACAAACTTCGACTTACTGGCATTTGTTAGAGCTGAAATAACCCATGATGTTACACTAACAGAATCGGCATTCATATGTTTAAGTATTTCCCACAACTGGACAGCCTTGCTCGATAGGGAAATGGGAGTACACAGTGGCTAAAATAAATTATAAATATACAATAAACCTTAGGACCTTGAACCTATGCAGAATTTTTTAAAAAATATATTGAAAATAAATGTGAAAGAAAAAATATCAGAAAAATAACTAAGATGTACTGTGGTAATTCAGCTCGTTTATTCATATTCAAGGAAATTGCCAATATTTTTGAAAACTGCTGGCAATGACAGTAGTTTTACATTTTTAATTTGGTTTATTTATTTATATTTGTGGGGCAAAAAAAAACAACGATATATGGTGAACTTAATTTATGTGCTGTACACACACCCATCACATTGAAAATAAACATTTTGAATATTTTCAGTGACATCAAATATTCTTGGGGCAATACCATTTTCCAGCATAAGACAATGTGGTGTATCGTTTTCATTTAATGTTCAATAACAAATACTGATTATTAACTAATTTCAGCATGCTAAATAAACATGATAATTTCACCAGTATGACAGAAATATCCAATTTGACTTCATTCATCATAACATTAAGCTCATTTTTTCCTAAACATTTTTTTAATCTTTATCTAATACACAATGATTTTTGTTTGACCAAATTCATTTTTTTACCAAGAAATTAATTTAATTGAAAATTAAGAAAATTATACTAGAGACCATTTAAGCAAGTGGTCATTATTTGTTTCTATAGTTCATAAAAATGCCCCTGTATATTTCTTATTACTTAGTAAGTACTTAGTAGTTACTAAGTTACTTAGTAGTAAGTATTCAAAGTACATTACAGATCATTTTCAATAAAGTTAGCTTTAGTAGTATGTATTTGCATACATATAATGCCAACATTATGCATAGAAATTAAACCAATTATAAAGAATCTTCATAATTGATAAGAAATTATTACCAAGAGCGAGGATCTGATTGAATCATACTATCAACCTCATGTCTAAAAATGGGCCACGCTAAAAACTGACACACGGACACTTCTGGGCCAAAGTATTTATCTGGCACGTAAAGAAACATTGGTCGATGTGTCCCACTTAATTTAAGGGTGGGATTATTCCTTGGCTCGATAAAGTGAGCGAATAAGAAAAAACAATTGTGTTGAGAACCGCATTTAGACTTTAGTTCTCCTGTTCTGATTTTTGTATAACTTTTTCCCTGCTTAAGTCTTAGAGCCTAACCGCTTCTTACTCTGACAATTTTGTGCAAATGGCAACTACATAATACAAAACCTCATTCTCTAGGCCACACGCTGTCAAAATTTATTTATTTTTAATTTGGGTTCACAACAGCAGAGGTCATATTAACAAGTATATCGTAAATAAATATTCATTAGCAAACTGATCTTTAATTTTTTCTGTAATAAAAATAACTTTTTAAGGGCGTCGGTGGCCGCAACGGTTTAAGCGTTGACATGGTGCTCATCACTATAAGGTAAAGGTCCCGGATTTGAATCCACCGGCCCTGCATTTGAACCTGACATACTTACAAATGGTTGGTTTTTTCAAACCCCATATTTTACCCTGTCCTCTAAAAATTGGCTTCTAGCATAAGTTTGTCAAATAGATGTTTCCTTATCATACAAAACTAAATTGAAAATAGATAAACTACTGTCATCGCCAGTCATAAATTTTTGTTACAATAAAATATATATATATATATATATATATATATATATATATATATATTTCATTGAAGTGGCAAAAGTCGCTCAAAAGAATTATCACATTGACTGCGATAAAAGCGATCATGGATTTTTTCCTTCATAAATGCTATTATTGTAATGCATATGATTGTATCTTCCCCATAAACTTTGCAGGCTAATTCTGACATATTTTCATAAACTTAATAGATTTAGAACAGCATGAAATAATCATGCATAGATGATACTTTTTTTTTAAAGATAGTTCCTACTCACAGTTACTGTGAGTAGGAACTATCTTTTTAAAAAGGATTGAACACCGCACTCACTCCATCATTCCTAAATGATACTTTTCTCCCCAGCCAAGCTAGTACTTAATTGCTGTGGTGGCACATGCTTTACAAGTGTAACTACTTTGTCTAATGAGCAGGACTATTCTTACCAAAATTAATGTTACGACACCAGATGGTAGAACTTTGACCAAAAATCCTAAGAATACGAGGCCATATATTAAAGCAAAAATTGCCGTCTTTCTTTGTAAAAGATCTTGATAATATAGCACGAGGAAAATCAAAACGTATTCCTGTACAATAATTATGGGATACTCTAAATACGAAAGTAGAGCATATCCATTGATGAAATTATATGTTGCAGTTGTCGAATAACTGAAAATAAAGACAAATATACACGGCCAAGTACAATGGTAAAATGCAATGTAATAAATACCTCATCAGTTCCATGGCTAAGCCATAGATATTAATTCCCTTGGCACTTTTTAACTTAATTATGCTTTTTATCTGTGGTACTTTAAGAAAAAGGCAAAATGAAATGGTAATAACACTCAAAACGTCAGAAATCAACTGTGCAAAGTTCATTGTGATTTTTTTTCTCGGAAACTGAGAATAATTTTAAATTTAGTAATACAAAAATAAACAGTCAAGGTCTTAAGCCTAAAACCTCGAATTTTAATAGACAACCTTCCAACCGCACCACTTCAAATACAAAAAATAAAGTCAAGAAAATAAACCATTTTATGAAATGGTCAATAAATACAAGCTTGGACGACTTTGAGAAACTTTTATTGTCATAACGTTGAGTTTAAGCATTAGTCGATAAGGCAAAAAGTCTTATCATTTTATCAACGGAAAACCTTTCTCAGGATTCTCAAGCAGTCTGGCACGTGAATAATGACAAGAAATATTGTATATTTATGTTGAATGTGACATTATGTTTGCATTATGTGCATTGAGAAAAACACCACACATTTCTACATTGAAAAAAAGTTGAATTTAATAATATGTAATAACCCATTTATGCTTTAGTGGCCAATTGGCCAAGTTACTTCTTTCAATTAATTTTTATTAATTTAAAAAGACTATTTCAACCAAGACCTTACATAAAAAGAATAATTAATTGAAAGAATACGTAATAATATTCATTTCGGTCTTCCAAATCTCTTTGTTTTGATTAACCACATCTTGATTAACAAGGAAGAGCCAAATCAAAATAACTTGCTATTAAAAACAACAAAATACATCGTTCTTTTTTAAACCTTGTTTTAGTACAAGTACATAAATTGAAATTCTGGAGTGTGCATATTCACGTTAAAAAATTTCACTGTTTAATTTGCGTTTCAAATAACTGTTTCAACTATTTTTATTGTACTCTAAATGTTTTATATATTATATTGATAAAAACAGGTTATTTATAGTTTTAAAAATTGCACTGAAATTTTCTTGTAACGATATTTGGGAAAGAAAATTTTTCAATGACGTCTTGAGAGAAGAGGTGCTGCCATCTGACCAGCCCGTGAAATGTTACACGAGGAAGGTAAGTCAAAGGTTGATTTCTTGATTTTATTATTGGATTTCTTATTTTTTCCTGACGAGGTGATAAAAGGTAATAAGCATAATATTTATTACAGGTGGTAATGGCAGTTTTGAAATATTTTAAAAGATACGCCGTCAGCTTCTTTTTTCCATTAATCGCGATATCCTCAATTTACGCAGACTACAGCCACACTCAGGACTGGAAGAGACAGCAGTTATTAAAGAAAAATCAAGCTTGAAGAACTAAAGTACAGTGATTTTTACTAGGAAAGTTTAGAGGTATATTTAGTACTTATAAGGTTCATCATTTTTAAGGATGTAAAATTACAGATATTTAAAAATAAATAAAAATGATATATTTAGGATATATTCGGTATTTATTTCTATTTTTTAAATTATATATATACAGGGGGTCACCCGAGGGTGTGGCATGTGTCACCATTTATTGCATGGGTGCATTCACTAAATGATCACTCTCTCTGTATTGTAGCATTACTCGAAGGAATCGTGTCAAGCATGCGCTTCAGGTAATTCGAGACAATGGCGGATCTGCCTATTTTGTGCGCACTGACCCGCGGTTATTATCCAATGTGACAGGTTTTCTGTCGACCCATTTGTTGTTCTTGGAGAAATACCATGAACTGGAGTGTCTTGGCAAAACGCAACCGTGATCTGAAAAAAAAGTAAACGAAAGTAGCTGTGTTGTTGGTTGGATTGGCTCTACAGCTCTTACTAAGCAAGAGCTCTAGAAATAATAAATAAAAGTAATAAAGGTATGGGGCTCATTGGTTGCAATGGTTTGGGTGTTGACATGGCACTCATCACAGTAAGGTAAAGGCTGGGTTTGAATCCAGCTGCCGTACATTGGAACCTGACATACTTACAAATGAGCTATTTTACAAAAACACCAGCACCTCTAGGATTGATATGACCTCTGCTGTTGTAAACCCCTGTTAAAAAGGGGGTGAGTATATCATTCACTTTTTGTAATGGATGGTTCTACTCATAGATTTGGGATTTGTAAATCTGTGAGTAGAACCATCTATTACAAAAAAAAGTATCACGAACACTGGTTGATGGGTGGCCCTCGTAGAAACTCACCTGTAGAAGAAGGGTTATCCTCACCAGATTAAGGCCATATATAGAACACAGAATGTACTTTAGAGCTAAAGCCCGCATATTGTCTTGTTTATAGAGAAAGGTTACTAGATGTGTCCTACCTAATTGAAAAGTTCAATTTCTTTGCTCCATGTAGTGTGTGTAGGAATGCCACCGGAGATGAGAATTGTGCTTGGGCATGGCAACAAGTATCTGGGTACCCTGTTCTGATTTTTGAAAGAAACAGGGTTGTTTTAATGTGTATATTACCAACAGTGTTGTTATACCCTAGTGTGTGTTGAGAATGAACGTTATTAGCATTGATGTGCTGTGTGAAGGCAGAATATTGAGTGCATTAACCTTCAATTAGGTCACTGTGAATGGTATGTAAATAAGAATGAGTGAGTGTGTGAATGGGTTTCTGTCATGAGAGGAGAGACTGAGGCAGACCCAAAAGCTGTCAAGAAATAAAAACTGGTGGAACAGTTCAGAAAAATAAAGGGGTAATTATTATGGAAAATACCCATTATCTACATGGAGAACATATGCAATAATGTGGTATGTAGGTAGCTTCAAAACATCATCAGGCATTTTGTGCATACCTAAAGTATGAGTAATCAAAAACTTGGTAGAACATTCTGTCAACACTTGTGCCTTTTAAAAGGGGTTACCCTGACAAAAAATCAGACAGCTAAGCAGTCCTAAACTATTAACATGCAAAATAGTACATGAATGCATCTAAAATCTTCAAAACCTGGACAAACATAATACCGTGACATCTTGGGTGCCGGGGGCAAAGGAGCTGTGGGTAATGAACAAATAACTGGCCAGATAAAACCATATATAGACCCCAGAACCTACATTTACTTAGTATAAATAATCAAACATAAACTACTCCATCTAACAATAGGTTCTCAAAAAACAAAAGGAGAAATGTATGAACTCCAGACGTGCCAGACACAGTAAAATCATTATTAAAGAACCCTTACTAGCCAATGCATTGAGGTTAGGTAGGGCGAAACTCATGTGAGCTACTCGCATCTGAAAAAAGATTTACACAACATTGATATATTCAATAATGGCCTCATTTGTAGATTATTCAATGAAGAGGAAGAAACTGCCACCCACATGACGAATGGGAAACTCATAACCAAGAGTACACCATAAGAAGTCACAAGAAAAAGAATTGCAGTATTGTAGCAACCTACTACTTCTTAAGAAAAGGATCAAATGAATTGAGCTTAATTAAGGAACTAGGAAAAATACCCTAAGCCAGAAGGCTGCAGAACTTGGGGAATACAAAATATGCACTTCCTATTATGCCCTTATTATTATTATCATCATATCATCAGCAGCATTAAGGCATAATAAGACCTTTACCAGGCCCTTTTTAAATATTAACCAACTTCATAAAGATGAAATCCTTTTGGATAGTAGTTGTGGGAATGCCAATCATTCTGGCTATGCTATGCCAATTTCTTCCATCTTTCAATAACTATCCCTGTGTTTCTATCTAAATTAGAATATTATCATAATCCATTTGATAAAACAAGGAGAGGTTAATTAATTTGTGCTTTAATAAGCCTCCCCTTTTCCTGAATCATGAATAAAATTTAGCATTACACTCCAAACGGATTTTTCTAATAAGGAAGAAAAAATATTTAGGATGACCACATTTTTACCCCCACAGTATAAACATATATGGATAAAAGTGTACTCCTAAGCTTTCTAATGGATAAATGTCTGCCATACAAAAATTTGTATGGCATCTATTGAATGTAATAAAGATACTGATAAAACTAATATGTATGCATACAAAATTTTTTGATGTTTCTTCATTTTCTTTAAACAAAATTTTTTTCTTAACATATGTAATGTGGACTCATTAAATGAATGATTTTTTAATAACAAGTACGGTCCAAAATAATAAGTTATAACAAGTGGGATTGGGTTGCCCACTAACAGTTTTGAGTTTCCATTAGTAGTACCAAACTATTGCAAATGCAGTACTGACAACCAGAAGAGAAAAAAAGGTCCAAAATAAAGAGCGTATATTTACAATTTGCTATAAAATTGTAAGAAATTAAAAACAATAAAGTACATTTATATTTGTATGTACAAATACTTTGATTAAACCTAAAATTTCTATATTGTGTACATCATTGTATAAACTCATAGTTATATCTTATATGTATTTGTATACTTTAAACAATGTTTATAAATCACAGGCCCTGAAGATAATCTCAATTGAGACCGAAACATTGGCACAACAAAGAAAATGTTTTTCTAAACCTATGTCACGCCAGACTGCATCTTGCGACCTCAAAATAATCATTATTTGATTGGGGGAAGGGTTTATAGAATGATTTTTGAGGCTAAAGAGGCCAGAGTTTTCAGATTTACACTCAATCTGTATGTTAATTTTATGTAATTGTTTTAGATGCTGAAAGAGCCGTATTCTCGCCTGATCTACCTCATCATTCCCTTCACTGGGATGTATATTGGCAAATATTTGGACAACCAGGAAACCTTAAGAATGACTCGATTCAGAGATAAGAGTGCCCTTTATGGTAGAACCTTACAACTAGGGGAACAACCCTCATGGCCATGAAACAACATTAGTTCAAAAACACTTTTATTAATTACAAATGAAGTTTGTTCAGGTACAGAGTTGTACTTAGAAAAATAATCTATGTAAATATCAAAAAATAAATGTTATAAAAAATAATGCACTTGGTTGATTTTTGTTTAATAAATAAAACAAGCTTTATAGGAGCCTACTCACAGAAATATACAATGTATATTTGAACAAAATATATATGCACTAATTCAATTTATGATTGTTAATGTTTATTTCAATTTTATCCAATTTATAACCAATAATAATAACTAAATTTTTTCACATGATATAGGTTACTAACAGCAAGGGCATTAAGAATTGATAGAACATTTTATTAGTGTAGCTATATAAACCAAACAGATAAGTTATATCAAATATTTATATATCATTAAATTAAAAATAATAATACTGTTAAATGAAATTAGTTATTTTAAAAGTTTTGTCTGGTTTTTTTATTGGCTTCACTAAAATATTCTCCTTGTCTTGCAATATTCTCGATCGATTGTGTACCTTCTTACTCTCTAGCCAGATTTTTGGCTGAGAAGTTTCTGTCAAATCCTCTGGACTATGAGATGAACAAGTGACAGAAGTTGGCCTTATAAAATTATCACCCAAAATTTTTCTTTTCTCTTCAAAATGCACTCGTTTTGAACGTGTCTCTATTGTATTTCTTACAAACAACGGCCTTGGAAATTGATTAGGGTCTATTCTTGCAACAGTCCGGGAGACACTTGTATCACCGGGATCGGCAGAAATATCGCTTACATTTCCATCGTGCACCATTGCATACAGTCTTGGATCTTTTCTCCTTTTGCTGTAAACCTCGGCTAAAACCAACTTTTCTTTTGCTTGTCTCTCTAACAGAGCCAACTGTTTTTCTTTGTTTAAAAGTGACCTCTCTTTTATTGCCATCCCTTCTTCTTTCTCCTTCAATCTTTCTTCTCTTTTTCTTAACGTTTCTAATCTTGACAACCATTTTCCTTTAAATGTATTGTTGGTCACTTCCTCGGCATCTGTAGTCATGCTAAGGTTTTGTAAAGCTTTCAGGCAAACATTTTCCAAGTCTATCGAGCTTTTGGATGGTTTTGGAGCTGATTTTATATTTACCACAACAAGTGGGTGATGGAGTATCATTTCTATCGTAGGTCGAAATTCGTGTTTAACGCTTAACATAAATGATATTACTTTCCTTAAATTTTCTGAATAAAAACTTGGAATTTCTTTATACCTGAAAAAATTAAAATCAATTAAAAATATCAAAAAAAATTATTGTACACGAGCAATACTCTTACTTTCCGCTTTTAATCTTAAAAGTGAGCTCTTTCATATTAGTACCATTAAATGGTGGCCTCAGCGAGCACATTTCATAAACCAAACATCCTAAAGCCCAGATATCAGATTTCCTGTTATGTCCATGTCCTCTTACTACTTCCTTGAAAACAAAATGTACATATAATAACTACAGATTTTTTAAATTTTATTATTAACACATACAGGACTCAAATAATATGGTGTTCCAACAAAATTAGTTGTTGTGGGTTCGTCCTGCTCTATCCTAGCCAGCCCAAAATCGCCAAGCTTTGCATTTCCCTCTTGATCAAGAAACACATTTGCTGGTTTTATATCCCTATGAAGGACTGTAAAGCCAACCAGCTTTGTATGGCATACTTGAATCGCTTTCGACACTTGATAGAGGATTCGCCAAATAAACTCCTCTGAAAGTGACTTGTTTACACTGTAATAAATTGTGGTGTAATTTTTTTTTTAAACAAACAAATGTAACATGAATATAAAGTTTATACTTTTTAGAGTCTTTGATGACAGCAGCTAAATCTCCCCCTTGGCACCATTCTGTTATTATATAAAGTGTAGTTGTTTCTACATGAATAATTCTATCAAAGTACTTTACTATGTTTGGGTGATCTAATTTACTTAGAAGATTTACTTCAGACACCAGATTCTAAGCAAACAAAAACAAAGCAATGAATAAAGGTAAGTGTATAATGTAAATGCAAAAGAATTGATCAGCATTAAACCCAAGAGAATAGACAGACACAGGGCAAAATAGAGTTTAACTTGTGATCACTGATTTTCAGACCAACAACCACCACCATAATTAAAGTTACTGCTGTTTTATATCTTAAAGAATTAATCTATAAAATTTAGGAATTATTGCAAACTGTCAGATGAATACATAATGAATCCACATCTTTCACAAATAATATGAACAAAAGGTTGAACATCTTGTCTACACAGTTCGGTTGTTTCTGGTCATCCTAGTCTACAAATCTTCGTTCATACCAAACCAAATCTTTCAAATTACAGTTCATCGCCCCAGACCTCAATAAGAAGTCTTTCAGTTTTATCTTTGTTGCAATTTTGCTATTTAGATAATTAAACAATCTCAACTATATTTACAAGAAATTACAGTTTTGTACAGTGTTATGAGCTTTGCTAAAATGCATGAACAATGTTCAAATGTTCAACAATGTTCTTTGTAACAAAAGAAAGTGTTCGTGCTTCTGTACATTAATTTAGCTATAGTTGGGGGAGAGGGGGGCGCAGCATAAGTTCATCACTTTAAGGTAAAAGTCCCGGTTTGAATGCAAATTATCCGCTGGGGCCCTGTATTCAAACTTACAACTTACAATTATTTTTTTTAAACACCTCGAGGGTTGATATGACCTCTGCTGCTGCAAACATCATTATTAATTTTTTTTAAAATTGCCAAATAAATTGTTTTGATTATTGATGCTGATTAGAAGAGGTCCAGCAATGACTACTTCCTGAACGAATTATTTCTGATGACACATAAAATTCAATCTGTCATAGGAGAATAGGCTAGTCTATTTATTATGAATTTAAAAAAAAAAGATTTATTGAGAGTCAAATCTTATTTTACCTAAAGTTATTACCGATGTTAATTGTTCAGCTCAGGATGATTTTTTTAAGTTTTCTGTATAAACTTTGAATACCTTTTCTTGATTTTTTAAAATATTTTGTCTGTATGAACCTTGCGATGGGGGTTCAGACCAGAGAAGCAAACTCCAATCTGATGCGAAAGTTTAATATAGTCGTTCGTTGCAAATAAGATTTAAAATTGGTCGAATTTGGTATATAAACCAAACACTTTTACGTATTGGGTACAGCATTGTGTATAGAATGAAGGAAAGTTGGGAATCAAATAAAATCTTTGATGGTAGTAACGTGTTTTAAAGTATTGTCAATATATAGTATAGTTACAGTAGACAGAAGAAGAAGTTATAAAAAATGAAATTGTATGATATTCAGAGATATTATAGGATAATAGGTTAATATTAGACAAAACCACTGATGAAATTAAGAGGAATATAGCATGATTGTTCCTTTTATAATGCACTTTCTGTGCAAATGACAACCCAAAAGTAGGTGTCTGGCAAAACAATGTCAAACATCAGTTAAAATAGTCATTATTATTATTGTCATAATAATATTCATTTCAGTCATATACTTAATCTAAATTAAAAAGCATAACTTTGTTAATTATTGATAAATCTAATAACAGCCTTTTATAACAATATTAAAAATTCAGAAATACATACAGCCAACTCTTCTTAATTAGAAACTTGATAATGCGAATTTCTTGAAAATACAAACTCTTCAGCAGGCCACTTCGATAAATTGAAAAATTCTGCATTTTATGATATGCTTGAAAAAGCATGCTATTAATTGGTTAGGGGGTTATTAATTGAAATGGGGCCATTTCCCATCTTTGTAATTTGCAGTTTTTCTTTGTCATATTCCTTTAAAATTTCAATGTATTGTTTACTTCCTTACACCCTAAAGTTCCCTAGAATTTTCTCTAGTTTGTTATGTTCTGTGGTCAGTGTTTTGTCAATGTGTTCTCAGCACTGGTCACTTCGGAAAATCATTTAAACAAAGAACGCCAGGCCATATTGAAATGAAAACTTTACAATTTTTTTTTTAATAATGCGTAACAATATTCCATTTTACAGTTGATCTAATTCTGCTTTTTCATTAGTTTTACTGTTTTATATGTACACTTTAAGTTAAAACTTGGAAAAATGCATATCAACTCTTAACAATTTTTGTTCTTTCCTCGTCATAATTGGAATATCCTTATAATTTGAATTATTTTTGTAGTTCGTTGAGTTTTGAATTATCAAGAGACAAATGTATTATGTTCTCTGTGGTCCTTACTGGTGGTCTCTGGTGCCTTTACTCTAATTTTTTATTCTTGTTGGTTTTTATCAATCTGGTACAGCCTAAGGTGAAGAAGGAATATTGAGAATTGACAGTAGAGAATGGATTTGGATTTATATAAGCTCAAATCAGCACATGCATATACATAGAGATGTGTGGTGATTAGTGACCGTTAGTCGATAATTATTCAGAAATCGTGAGATGCGGGTGATGTAGGTTTCAGAAAAACATTTTCTTTATCATCCCAACATTTCTATCTTTATTGAGATCGAAATGTTGGGACGATAAAGAAAATGTTTTTCTGAAACCTACATCACACCAGACCACATCTCACGATTTCTGAATAAATATGCGTAGAGAGTTAAGCCTATCACTTCTTCCAGCTGCCAGCACTTCCATCATTGTGAAATTTACAATAAATCACCAGCAGGCAATGAGAATCACCCACCTTGTGTCTTGCCAGTATGGGTTCAGACCTCAGTGTTATCCGTACAGCCGCTGAGATTTGAGGATATCAATGGCTAGGTCATTTTATTCCCAACGTGATCAATCTCCAGATCCAAACCCATTCACACTCTCACTCACACTTAACATTCTTTCCTATTTAAGACATTCACCCACTTGATAATCATTCATCACCCTCTACACAGATTATACAACTAACCTAATTGAGGATCGATGGGTTACTCGACATTCAGCCATCAGCCCTCTCCCACATTTGCACACAATAAATATAATCAGCCTCATTGTACACAAAACGAGATCTCTACAGAGATTTATTTACAGTAAAACATTCCTTTTTTTCTATAAAAATTGGAAGCAGATTTCGGTCAAATAAAGTGTACGATTATGAACGTCTCTACCACCACAGTGAATCAGTGTTTTATCGTTAAATCTTTAACTTTGGCTCAAATTTCCTTCATTTATTGGTTATAAAGAGTCTGAATGACAACAAAACTAAATGGCACTGGTGTTGGTTTACTTGTCTGATTATTAGTCGTTTCAGGTCAGAGAAAATCTAAAACCTTTGTATTTTTAAAATTCTCATTGTTCCAAACTTCAAATGAGTGTCATTCCATAAAAATTTATTTACCTTCTTATTATCCTCGCTTAGTTTTCCGTAATCGACGGCTTTCCAAACAAACAACTGATTTGTTATCTTGGACTTAACTTTGTAACAAGTACCGAATGTACCCCGGCCTATAATACTCAATACCTCATAATCTTCAAGTCTTTGAGACATTACCAGCTTATTGATGAGATATCATCGATTGAGAATTGAAATTATATTACATAAATTCGCGAGTTTTTCCGTTGGGATTTGTTTTTCGTAAATTGTTTTTCTTCCTTTCGTTTTTTTTTAAATTCAAATCCCATCCCTTCCCCGAGTTAACCGTTTTTGCAATCGGAAGAGTCAGTGGTAATACGATCAGAAATTTGGTTACAAATTTAAAAAAAATCTATTAATTATAATTATCTTGAAATAACAATAAAATTTGTGATAACATAAATTTATGTTAATAAAATTATGTAATTATTGGACGAATATCAATGTCTCGCCCGGTCTCATTGGCCGTTCAACCAGCAGTGTTGTAAGTTTGTAACTTCTAAGCACAGCAGCAGCTTGCTTGGAAAGTATGTCAGAGAAACTGAGAAAGTAACAACGTCGTAACCTATCTTTGATTGTCAACATGATTACTATTTGTCCGTGTTGTCAGAGATGTTTCTCCGACAATGAACCTTGACCCCTGAGTGGAAAATGTCCCAGTTCTCCAACACCGCCTACTCTGTTTAAACGAGTAATATTCTTTCATCTTATAATAAATATGGACTCCGACGCCCAGGAACTGGCAGACACTTGGGCCAATTTTATTCGAGTCGATATGAGCCAAGGGGTATGGACATAACATTTTTCCCTTAAATTAAAAAAATTGAACAGAAACAAATTTCATTTTAATATAAAAAAACTTTCATCTATGTTAGAAATTCATAGAACAGTAACTAATTATGAAAAGACAATGGAAATAATTATTATTTATCTGCCTTTCCTACTGGTTGGACATTTTTAATATTTGTAGCATAGTTGTCTGTTTTGATTTAGATTGATATTTCGCCATCTTCAATGGTAGGTCTATAATAAAACGTAACAATCACTGAAGAGTTGAAATCTTTATTAGCTATATTTCATTCAATTTTTGTCTATTCTTACATAACTTTCCTACATATATTCTTGTTCGGGACAATCTCACTGTGTTAGCCAAGTCGTCTGCTCCGCCATACCTTTACTGAGGCTCTTGAAACTTAGATTGAGGCTGGCGTTACAGATGAGTCAAAAACTGGTGAAGGTGTGGCGTGTATCACGAGGTGCATCCACTTTGTGATTGTTCCCACTGCACTGTACTATTTACTCAGCATAATTATGTGATGTGGTATGTGCTTGGGGTGATACATGATGGTGGTTCTGCCTACCTCAACTGCACTGACTCCCTTAGGTGTGGTTATTGCTGTATATGGCAGGTTCATTGTCAACCCTCTTGTTGGAGAAATACAACTGGAGCAGCTCTGCAAAACAGTGGGTGTATGTAATAAAAAGGCAGATGAGTTGGCTAAGGTCGAGATATTCCAACCTCTGGACTTAACCACTGTGATGTTCAAAATGCAATAAAAACAACGATTGAAAGAAGGTGGCAGCGTCGGTGGGCTGGTTCAGCAGGGAAATGCTCTTGGATCAAAAGCACTGTTGATGGATGGACCTCGGAGGATTTGAATCCTAAAGTAAGGGTCATCCTCACTTGATTAAGGAGAGGCCATGCGAGGTTGATACATGAACTCTTATTTTTGGGTTAAAGCCCCATACGGAGAAAGGTTGTTTAACATGCCCTAACTAATTTAAGGGTGTGATTCCTTAGTTTTATTTAGAGAGTGTGGAATAGAAGCTTCCATTGTCATTAAACAACAAAGCTCATTTTATATTGTTTAAAGACTTTTTTAAGGGGGCATCGTTGGCCGCAACGGTTTAGGCGTTGACACGGCGCTCATCACTGTGAGGTAAAGGTCCCAGGTTCGAATCCAGCAGCTCTGCATTCGAACCCGACATACCTACAAATGGGCTTTTTGTCAAAAACACCGGCACCCCGAGGGTTGATATAACCTCTGCTGTTGCGATAAGACAGTAAACTTAATAAACACATATTGCATTCAATCTAAAACAATTTTTTTAACATAAAAAGAAAATATTTTCTTTCTCACAAAAGATTAAATTGCCAGTGGTCTGTAAGAAGCGATAGGTCACATGTGCAGATTTGAGTTTATATAAATCCAAATTCATTCACTCCTGTCGATGCTTGATATTCCTTTTTCGCCCTATAAGTATATTGTGCCTGATGAATAAAACCAGCAATAATAAGCAAATTAGATTGAAGGTTCATCACCCCAAGAACATAACATTTCTAATGTTTTAAGATTGTCATCAAAAGCTGTTATTAGATTTATCTAATCTAAATGATTTTTTTAATTTTAGATTAAGAATGTGGAAAATTCTATTGAAGATACCCTTACAAGGCTAGATGAGTTTACTGGAGTTATCGATTTGGTTAGAATATTTTATTGTATTGAAGTTAAACGTATTTTGGGTTTATTCTGTTATTTCCGCCCCACAGCTGAGACGAGAGTCAAACTTCGAGGCGGCCTACACCATACTGGCAAAAAAACCTGAACTCATGCTCCTGTTCGAAAGAATTAGGAAACTCGAAAGAATCATCGACACTGTGAAACAGACTGTCAATTCATTTGAACACATTGTCACAACTGCCGAAAGTGAACTTAATTTTACTCCCGAGGGTAAATTGTTAAATTATATAAAACCACTATTTTTTGTAAGTATTTAAAATCTGGTTTGTTTTAACAAACAATTCTTGTTTTAATGCAAATTTTAAAAAATTCCAGAAAAAACAGAGTGCAAGCCTAACAAGAAGTGGTGCCTTGCCTACTTTTATAAGTCCAGAAATATTCTCAACCAAAGATTTGTTTGCAGAGTGATTTATTCAGTTATTCAAGGTTCCATTACAAATATTTAATTTTATTAAAATTTTAATTAAAAAACAACCATTTTTAATATATATATTTTATGATATTATAAAAAAAATTATCTTGTAAATTTTTTTAATATATTTTTTTTATACAAGTTATATCACTTGTAACAAAACTGAGTAAATGATTATGATATAAATAAGTAAGTTTTTTAAGTGTTTCACATTTTAACAACTTACATCTTGGTATTAATATGTTGACAAGTATAAATTCTAGACTTGTATTAGTAAAAAACCAACATGCAGATTTCTTAAAGCATCTTAAAATGGAATGATGAATTTTTAGGGCAAAATGTAAAAGAAAAAACGTCTTTCTATAAAGTTATAATGATGGAGATGTGTTGTTTTTATGTTATTCATTTTTAATTATTTAATTTTTTAAAATTATTATTGTGAGATTGTTAATGAAATTTAATTGAAATAGCGTGCAAGTCAACTAAGAATTCTTCAACCAATCTTAGAACAACTAGTTGGACTCTTGGTTTAAAAGATCGATTGACTATTTCAATAGTAGTGTATACTATTTTTATAATAAATTTAATTCTCAGATTTAATAAAGAATTTCAGTAAACCATATTTTTTAGTCTTAAATACAATTTATTACCTACTGCATACTGTTTATTCAATTTTATAAAGTCAAATACCTGAGTACTGCATATTATTTATTTCTCTTGTTTTAGGAAAAGTGTGGACTGGAATTGCTTATTTTTCCTTTTATTTGTCTTTCCATGATTTGTGAAAAAAAAGAACTGTTTTACTACGTTATATATAATCAAATATTCAAAGATAAAAACCGGGATTGTGTTTAGGAAAAAATGTGCAAAGATGCTAAAGAAATCTACAACCTTGCAATAATCTTTTTAAAGTGCAAAACTTGGCTAACATTAATAGAAACGATGAACGTGGGGTGAGTAAGTGATTCAATTTTTGTAAATGATGGTTCTCCTCGCAGATTTGAAATTAAAATCACGAGAAAAGTCAAATCTATGAGTAGAACTATCTTTACAAAAAGTGGCTAACATTGTTTAAGTCAGTGTACAATCTGAAAAAAAAAAAAAATCACCAATGTAACATAACTCAAAATTAGTAAACATTGGCACAAAAAATGAGAATTTAATGAAAAAAGTATTTTATTTATTAAGTGAAAAAAGTAATTTTGTTTATTGTTAAGGAATGAAAGAATGATAAACTAATTAGGATAGGAATAAAAAAAAATTAAATAGCCAATTTGTAAATTAAAATTATGAAACCCTGTTTAGTTCAGCTTTTTAAGATTTCTCATAGCCTCTTATGTGCTTTACCAGCTCCTCTTCTAAAACGTTCTTTACCAAGTAGGAACTAAGTTAACAATTTTTGGATTAAGTTTGTGATTATAAAGAAAAAAAACATTTTTTTTCAACTTTGATCTTTTTTATTATTTGTACGCTAATATCATAATACCGTCCTTTTCTTTTGTGGGGCATGTGTAAAAAGAAGCACCTCTTGCCAGTCGCTAGGGGCGATTTTTATCTTTTACATAACTTCTACCTACGTGCAGTAGCAGCACGGAATGGGATTATTAATATTATTTTACATGTCAACAATTTTTGTTAAACAGGTTGCATAGGTGTCTGGTAACATGAAACAATATGATATTAACTTGCTTCTTTCTTGGCTTGATTCCTTTCTGAGAGGACGATTTTACAGCGTTGTGTGTAATAGTTCCATCTCATTTTCTGTCTGGGATCCCTCAGGGCTCTCACCTTGGGCTGATACTTATTTTAATTACTTTTCATTGACTTATCGACTTTTTTTCTTCATATTATCTTCCATTGCGGATTGTAAATTACTTAACTAGATTTACATGCTTTCTTTACTTGGTGCTGTAGTATTGGTTTGTGTTCAATCAAAATGCAAATGCATTAAATTCAATGACTTCTAAGCAGAAGGATTGTGATTCTTGGTCGTATCACATTGTAAAGTAGATGAAATAAATGTCTTAGGTATCGTCCGATATGTAAAAAGTCCGGCATCTCATACGCCGGGAGTCTTCGAGAGTGGGCCCCTTTAATCATCTCACCTCCCCGGGAAACTCAATTTCTTCAGTCTGTGATTTTTTTCACAAACTCTTTATATACTTTTAAAAAGATCTCTTATGCTTAATGATCGTATCTGTTGTTTCTGTAGATAAACTCTTTAACATTTTGTTTTTATCACATTATTTTTATTTTATATTGTTATTTTTGTTATTTATTTTAGCTTATACTTTTGATTGTATTATAAGCATATGGCTGTTCTTTGTAGAGCTTATATTGAGATAAATAAATAATAAAAAACCTCTGGTGACATTAATATGGGATCTGGCGTTTTTTTGCCGTCTAGAGGCTTGAATCAAACAATTGTTTTTTTAATATATATATTTTTTTAATAGAGACACAGACTTGGTAAAAACATTATTTGGTTCTCAAAAATAGTTCTTGAATGGTTTTACCAAATGGGTGACTGAATTGCTAATTATTAACCTATGACTAGCTTTATTTACGGTTTTCTCTGTAAAAAAAGTTCTGCTACTAACAAACAAAGCCAAGATAGCTAATATCAATATTTGAGAGAACTTTAAACAAATTTGGACCTATGAACAACCAACTTGTTGAATCACAGACAAAAAGATCAATCTTAATAAATCCTTCAGTAACTAATAGGATAAGGCTGCAATGATCCGTATTATTATTTTGTACTTTTTCTGGTATACAACACATTATCTACACATCGTATGAATATCACATCGTATACAATGAAAGATAATTCATCAATGAACTCTGCATATGCAAATAATTTAGAGATAAACATTTAATAATTAAATGTTAATTATTTTCTCACAATTTCCGAATAATCGTTAATTAGATTGTAAATATTTAAGACTGACTGGGTACTTGTATTATCAAAACACAATCATTTTGTATAAGTACATTAGTATATTTGTATTATAATTTTTCACAAATCTTTTTGTGTTAATTATTCTAAAAACAAAATGTATAATTTGAATTATCAAATAATTCATGTAGTCACATCACTTTCGTTTTTGAATTGCTTCCAAGGATGCATGTTTTCTGGATCTTCTATTTCTAATGTGTTCAAGTGGTTAACAACATCGACAAATTTTCTATAGTCTTGTAAGAAATCTTTATTATTGAATTTTAGATTTACTTCAACTCCGCTTTCTTTCAATTTAATTTGTTCATTTATTTTATAGTGAAGCGAATTTACGTGACGCATGAAAATGTTGTTGGGTTTGATTTTTTCTCTCAAGAGAATGCCAACTAAATAAATTATCATTTTTAAATTCCAAGCTTCACAGCCGCAGTGGACCAAAGTGCCTAGAATTTCAACGTTGACCCTGCCACAAAACATATTATTATTTGACAAAAAACATACACACTTAGTATTCTTACGGTATTCCCAATTCTTTCATCCCTTCCAATAGTTCCTTGGCTTCTGATAATCTTCTACAACCGAGGGCCAAAACTCCAAAGGTTATAGTATTTGGAACTAGTTTTTCACTAGCTATAATCTTGAGTACTTCTCTACCGGCTGGAAACTGATTTTCCATATTTCTCTTTTTAATGAGCATGTTGCAAAAATCAATATCCATTTTGACATTTGATTTTTTCATTTCTTCAATAAGAAACTGAAAATGAATGCGACAAAAACTTGAGTCAATAACATAAGTCTGTTGCGTGAGAGAATTACTAACTTGTTCTGCATCTCTGGATGCAGGTATCAAAGATAGAAGTTGAGTAAATGTTTTGACATCAGGTTTTATTTTAGAATGAGCCATAATCTCTAGAAAACCTTGTGCACCACCGAATAACATCAACCTACAAATATAATTTCATTAATTTGTACAAATTTGTACTACATGATACAAACACATACTTGTGCCAATTTTTTTCAATCTTATCTACATATATTAAAGTTGAGAATTGTGGTTCAATTGCAAGTAAGTTTGCTGTCAATGTATTCGTTTCATTAAGTGGTACTAAATTACATGAGTCATCTGAATTATTAAAAGAAGACTCAATATTTTTGAATTGATTTTCCTCCCTCACTATTAAGAAACTCTGAAATATTTATATATATATATAAAACACTTATTAATTATAAGCAATAATTACCAATTTGTCATTAGGGAGATATTCCTGTAGTGCTTCCTTAACTTCACTCGGTTTTCCCAATTGGCAATCCCTTGTGCATCTCAAAAGTAGATTATAAGTGTATAAATTAGGCTTTATTTTCAGCTTGATTAATTTCCTCCAAACCTAAAAAAAATTAAGACAAAAAAAACAAAAACAATAGGACAAAAAAAATTAAATTATGTTATTTTACTATTAATGCATGCCGAAGTCCTGATTTAACATCAGAAGCGCAGGCTTGTAGTAAGAAATTAATAGTGGTGGTTGTGATTTTTAAATTGTTTTGTTTCATCTCATCAACTATCGTAAAAGCCATTTGTATATCACCACACCTTCCGAAAGCTATAAAAAGTATTTTTATAAATACACAAATATACAAACTGATTTGAAAAGTACACTTGAAATCTGTTATTTAAATTACCTTTAATCATTGCATTAGCGTTAACTTCATTTATTTGATAACCTTTACGTTTCATAAGGTCTTTTAAATGCAAAGCTGCTTCTAATCCATCTTTTGGCCAAGGGTCATTGGCACAAGCGTTAAACAATGATGTGTAAGTGCTAGCTGATTCATTAACTCCTCTTTTTTTCATCTATAAGAATTAATAAATGTTAAAAATAACTAGCTTTACTTCAAACAAATTGTTGTGATAGTACTTGATTAAAAAGTTGAAAAGCTTTTTTTGTATAGCCAAGTTGTGCGCATCCACTAATAAGTAGATTGTAAATATATTTATCTGGTTTAGCGTTTTCCTTTTGAAGCATTCTTGTTTCCAAAACGTTAATTGCGCTTACAAGCTGAAACAGAAACATTATAATTAATGACAAAACGTATGTACAATAATACAAAAAATATTTACGTCTTTTGAATTAAGATGCTGTTTAATTATTTTGGCATATTCTATGGGTTTGAGTCTCACTTTTCCATCGATATTATCGATAAAGTCAACTTCTTCCTTGTCTCCCTTTTCTTCAGGCATTTCTTCAGCCTCTTTCCGGGACTGCTGTTTATTCAGTGTGCCAAATACATCAGGATTATTGTGCCTTGGTATGAAGTCCAATTTGGTTGACATCGTCGTTTTTGTTTGTTTTCTCAATTGAAGTATACGACTGAATGTCATAAAATACTTGGACGACATTTTATTTGCAATGCTAAAGAAAATAAGTATGTTTAATTATTACTTTGTTTTCATTATGTGGTTGGTTTGTTATTACGTATTTGCAATGTGAAAATTTCAAGTTTTCCAGGTAATGGATATCAATAACTATCATATCAGAGCGTTAAGGCATTGACAAGGCACTTATCACATAAGGTAAACTTCACGGATTCAAATCCAGTGATTCAAACGTGACATACTTCAATTTTTTTACAAAAACACCTGTACCCTGAGGGTATAATACATACATATATATACATATTTCATTCCCAAGTTTTTTCGTTTAGATATTCTTATCATACATAAAATGGATTTCTCAATAATTTTAGTTTTTCTTATTTTAAAAAGTGGCTGTCTTTTAAATATGTAATATACTGAAAAGTCTGAAGGTGAACAATTCACGACTTAAAAGTGTTGGATTTTTTTACAAAACGGTTGACTGGACTATTACCATTCCTAGTAATCACATTTGAATTATTATATACTTTAGCATAAACATTTATACAAGGAGGGATACTATCACCTCTTCTATGGAGCCTAACAGTTGACGAACTGCTCGAGACCCTGGACCGTTCAAGAATAAAATGTCAGGGATATGCGGATGACATAGTCCTGACTGCCAGGGGAAAATTCGAGGAAACTCTCTCTGATATAATCCAAGAGGGACTAAAAATCACAGAAGAATGGTGTAAAAACCGCTGATTTAGGAATCAACCCCAATAAAACAACTATAGTCGCTTTTACACGGAAAAGGAAACTTGATCACATGAGGGAAATAACACTCAATAACACCGTCATAGAAATCAAAAATGAAAAATATCTGGGCATCACACTAGATGTAGATGTGATATTTCAGGGTATGGTATACTGCGCCCTTTAAGAGCTATGTCCCCTGTGCTCTGCCTAAGCACATCGGTGAGTCCTATTTCATCAAGAAACTTGATTAATAGGCCTGGTTTCAGTGGTTGTAGTTCTTCTCTGGTCATATTGTACATTCCAAAACACTTCCTCCTGCGGGCTAATGTAGCTCCGCAGTTTGTTAGTAAGTGAGTTGGTGTTTCTTTTGCTTCCTTGCAGAATCTACATGTGCCATCTTGGATTATTCCAATTTTCTTTAGATGTCCATTTAGTCTACAGTGTCCTGTCAGGAATCCTGTTAGGATTCGCAGTCTATTCCTGCTTCCTTTGACACATTCTGTGATATCTTTCTTGCCAAACTTGGTTAGAAAATTCTTGGATTGTCTATGTCCAATAAGTGAATTCCAAAGTTCGCTCATTTTCTTTTTGTCCTTCTGTCTGAGATATTCGTTTATAGTGTGGATTCCTATGCCACAGAAGGGTTCGGGTCCTATCAGCGGTGTGGCAGCTCCTTTCCTTGCAAGGGTGTCCGCTTTCTCGTTGCCTTATACTCCCATGTGTCCTGGGACCCAGCAGAGGCTGACTTTATTCTGCGTACCTAAAATGTTAATTTGGTTTTGCAGTTCAGCACCATCCTTGAACTAATGGTATTTGAGCTTAGTACTTTGATGGCTGCTTGGCTATCTGACATGATAGCTACATTCTTGTTTTTGTATCCTCTATTTAAATTTAATTGGGTACATCTTTCAATTGCATGAATCTCAGCTTGGAAGATACTGATGTGTTTTCCCATGGGTTCTGAGTATTTGGTTGGAATACTCCTGCCCTCGTACCTTCTTGTGTTCTAGATCCATCTGTGTACCAGAGGATGGTGCCATTTTTAAAGGAGTTATTTCCCTTTCTTTCCCATTCCTTTTTGGTGCCCAGATGTATTAGGAATTTTTGGTTAAATTCAAACCTCCTGTTCATGTCATCTCTTGGAGCCATGAGTGATGGATGGTTTTTCCACAGTTTGTTTCTGTCTCTCCATTTCAGTTTTATTCCTGTTGGAGGTTTCTCTCTAATAAAGTTGATTATGGTTTTCTGTGCTGTCCTTTCTACCATGTGATGTAGGGGGATTAGTCCCAATATCTTTTCCATGCTAATTGTAGGACATGTTCTCATTGCTCCCGTTATGCAGATGCATGTAAGTCTCTGTATTTTTGTGAGTTCTTTCCTTTTGGTTACTTGCTCCGCTTTATCAGCCCAGGCTATAGCTCCGTATGTAAGTAAAGGTCTTACTATCATGGTGTACATCCATAACAGGGTTTCTGGCCTACATCCCCAGTTTCTCCCTGTTATTCTCCTGCACACCATCAAAGCTCGTGTCGCCTTTGTGATAATGGAGCTGATGTGTTTCTTGAATGTTAGTGTTTTATCTAGTGTGATGCCCAGATATTTGACTTCATTTTTTATTTCTATCACAGTGTTGTTGAGTTTGATTTCTTTCATGTGATCTAGTTTTCTTTTCCGTGTAAAAGTGACTATAGTTGTTTTGTTTGGATTAATCCCCAAGCCTGCACTTTTACACCATTCTTCTGCGATTTTCAGTCCCTCTTGGATTATATCGCAGTTTTTTCCCCAGGGAGGCTTCCATTGATACATGAGATGCGTTGTCGAAAGCTCCCTCAATGTCGAGGAATGTGCAGATTGCTATTTCTTTTGTTTCCAGTGTTTCTTTTAGGTCACTGGTTAGTTCGTACAGTGCAGTTTCTGTTGATCTTCCTGCTCTGTATGCATGCTGACAGTAATGGAGAGGCATGCATACAGACCAGTGCTGTCGTTCTTATATAGTTGTCTATCAGCTTTTCAAGGGTCTTTAATAAAAAGGATGTTTAGCTGATTGGTCTGTAGGATTTGGGGGATGTGGGGTCTCTTTTCCCCACTTTTGGTATAAACACCACCCTTGCCCTACGCCATGTCTGTGGTATATAACCTAGTGCTAAACTGCTTCTGTATATTCGTAGCAGTGTTGGAGTAATTATATCCATTCCTTTTTGTAACAGGATGGGAAAGATTCCATCTGTTCCTGGTGCTTTGTACGGGCTGAAAATGTTAATCGCCCAGAGGATTTTCTTCTCTGTGATTATTTCAGCTGCTTTCTTCCAATTTTCTTTCTTGGGATTGTCTGCTCTCACATTTTCTGGGGAGATGTTGTAGGTACTGCCTGGAAAATGTGTACTTAGAAGGAGCTTGGAGAAAACTCTCTCTGATATAATCCAAGAGGGACTAAATATCACAGAAGAATGGTGTAAAAACCGCTGACTTAGGAATCAACCCCAATAAAACAACTATAGTCGCTTTTACACGGAAAAGGAAATTTGATCACATGAGGGAAATAACACTCAATAACACCGTGATACAAATCAAAAATGAAGTCAAATATCTGGGCATCACACTAGATAAAACACTAACATTTAAGAAACACATCAGCTCTACCATCCATGAAGGCGACATGAGCTTTGATGGTATGCAGAAGAATAGCAGGAATAAACTGGGGATGCAGATTGGAAACCCTGTTATGGATGTACACCATGATAGTAAGACCTTTACTTACATATGGAGCTATAGCCTGGGCTGATAAAGCAGAACAAGTAACTAAAAGAAAAGAACTCACAAAAATACACATGCATGCATAATGGGAGCAATAAGAACATGTCCTACAATTAGCATGGAAAAATACTAGGATTAATCCCCCTACATCACATGGTAATAAGGACAGCACAGAAAACCATCATCAACTTTACCAAAGAGAAACCTCCAACAGGAATAAAACAAATGGAGAGATGGCAATAAACTATGGAAAGACCATCCAATACTCATGGCTCCAAGAGACAACATGAACAGGACGTTTGAATTTAACCAAAACTTCCGAATAAACCTGAGTACCAAAAAAAGAATGGGAAAGAGAGGGAAACAACTCTGGGCCAGTTTAAATCTTTTTTCACGGGATATGTAAGTATGATGTGACAGGTATAATGGGGAATGGGAGATGGTCTAGTAAATGCGATCATTATGCATTAAATCAACCACCTAAGTATGGCAATAATATAATTTGCTTCATTAGATCATCATTGATGTCTTTTTACCATCCTTTAAATAAATATTTTGTCACTGATTTTTTCAGTTTCTAGGCATTTAGTTTGCATTCGATTGCGGTTATGTGTAAATTAAACTAATATTTTATTTATTTATTCTGCATATAGGACAGCATGTCCTTTACAGAGGGAATGAGTCCAGGCTTATGTATATTACATATTTATATTATATAAGAAGCAAAAAATTACAAAACAATGAAAAAATAGAAAAAAAATCAATCCAAATACAAAAGAAGCAAAGAATGTAAATAAATTTAACATAACAATAAACTAAAAGTAAAAGAACTTAGATTTCTTCTCCAAAATAATAAAATGCCTTAGTGTTAATGAACTAGATAAAAACATAAATAAATTATTGACTTCTTTCCTTTGAGGGGACAATATTTTAAACAAAGGAATATTTAGCGGGAGGTATTTGCGCCTGAATTTTTTATATGTTGCGCAAATTAAAATAAGTGTCCAAGAGACTCCAATTCTCCTGTCTCACATGTCTGACAAGGGTATTGAGAGTCAATAGCCAGCCCAGAGTATTTTGTATATCTTGACATTAAATTACTGAGAGAAGGTGGACAAAATAATACATCACACCTAAGATGAGAAATGTAACTGATAGACTTCACCAGTGAGGAAATGACTAAACTATAAATCAACTTTTTTTTTTTTTTGGAACCAGAGACTGGAGGAGTTCCCTCCTGAGCACTGCAGCTGAGCTGTACAGCTTATTGTACTTTATCCCCGGCTCCATATTTTGGGGGAGGGCTCGCAACACAAATGTGAACTTGAGCCCCCGTTGTACCTGTGTTCTTCCATTGAAGAAACTCATTTTTGAAGGGGGTTGGGACCAAATTCAGGGTCGCTGAGATCCGATCCCGCCCCTTCCTTTGATGAGTGCCGTGTCAATTTCTTTCAATTGCAGCCCTTAGGCGTCAGAAAAAGTCCAGAGGTGACGGTGGGGATCGAACCCACGACCACGGGATCTACTAGCCGAGAATCTGACGCCTTAACCACTCGGCTACTGCGGACCCCATAAATCAACTTGCTAACATGGATTCTGTTTAAACAGTATGTACAGAGAGTCATTAGTCAAGTATTTGAATATTGTTGAATGTATTAAGTAAATAATTATACCTTCGGTTTTGTAGACTTTATGTAAAAATTAAAAAGAAATGTATGATATCAAATAATAGAATTTGGATGTTGTATTTATATAAGCTCAAATCTGACACACGTTCAGAGTTGAGCCTATCACTTCTCACAGTCCACTGGTAATTCCAGCTTTTGTAATTTACAATAATTACTGGCAGGCCTTGGGTGATGGCAGTCTACATCCAATTACCAAGGTTCTCCAGGTGCTGTCAACAGCTAGGTCAAGTCAGTGCCTAAACACATGCAGTTTCTAGATCCAAACCCATCCACACTTTCACTCTATCTTAAATATAATCCTTTCCTTCTTTCCTTTCTACATACCATTTTTACACTAATTAGGGTGGTGTAGTATTCAATATTCCTCCCTCTCCCTTTACTCGTATTATATAGCGATTGAGACAAGAAATTGAGATTCAATGGGGTACTCAATATTCTGTCATCAGCCCTCTCACACTAAACACTCTCAACACACGCAAGGGTTGCAAAACTATCAGTACCATGTACAATAAAACAACCGTTTCCTTCAAAAATTGGAACAGGGGATCCAGATAGCCATTACCATGCTCGTATCTGGTGGCAATCCTACACGCTCTCTATATAGAGCCAAGGAGTTACACCCTTCAATTAGGTGGGACCCATCGAGCAAAATTTCTCTACATGCTGGACCCAAGACTAAGAGTGCCAATGGCTTATCATTAATGCCGACCTGGCCCACTGACGTTGCCACCTTCTTTTATCATGTATTTTATTATACTTTTAGCGTCAGAGACCTAATACAGAACCATAGCTAATTTACTTTTATTAATAGAGTTAATACATGTTTTGTTTATAGTGATTACATACAATATATAAATTCATTAAAACTACTTTCAATTATCATGCATTTATTTAATCTTTCACCGTTTGTTTTAAATATTTTTACTTTGTAATCGGGTTATTTTTTATAACATAGTGCAATGGATTAGTACTTACTAGTTGCTACTCGGTTTTCAGTACTTGTAGTTAAGTTAAGTAACCACTAGTCCACTACCCAGTAAGAGTAACCCGCTATTCAGTACCTTAACTTGAGTGGTTATATTGAGGTTACACTACGTTAAAATGTCTGCTGTTGTTGATGACAATTCTTTGACATTCATTCCCGTTAACAAAGTTTGGATTTTGTAATAATTTTCGTATGCCGGTAGTTTTTTAAAATCAATCCCTAGACTATTTTTAAGAATTTAACCATGGATTTGCTGAGCCTGATGCCGCCGGAAATCGCCGTCAAAATTTTCGGCTTCCTCGAACTTCGAGACCTTCTGAACTGTCAGGCAGTTAGCAAATCTTGGTACGACCTCACGAACAATAATCTCGTTTGGAAGACCTTCTGGGATCCGAATTTGCCCCTGAAAGAATGTCGCCCTAGAAAAGGTAGGAGGAGTGTTGTAATTTGAACAGTTTAACTTCCATTGTATTTTATCTGGATATAATATTGCATATAAATTTGCTACATAAGTACTTTTATTTGATACACACTGTACATACACAGAGGGTCTACAAGACCAATAGGCCCTGAACCTATTCTTGAGATTACAAAAACAAACACAGAATCCTCCATCACAGAATGGATCGAAAAAAGACAAAAGGAGAAGTGGATAAACTCTAGTTTCACTAGACACAGTAAACTTATGCTAAAACAACCCTCACAAACACTAGCAAACTCACTGCTACAGAGAGGGCTAAATTCAGGCATCTACGATAAAACCCCACTTCCTTGCATCCACCACCATTATTATTTGACATTGAAAACACCTCATAGAAATGATAAATGGTGGAGTACATATGTTGTTCAATCTTTATAAAAAGATAGTTCCTGCCACAGTTAGTTGTTTTCAACAAAACCAACTATTCACTATTAAGGTTTTAAGTTGAGGTAAAAAAGTCAGTCACGAGCGGGATTCGAACCCACGACCTTCGGCTAGATACGCCGCTATCGTGACTTCGAGATGGGAAGTTAGTGCCCGAGTGGATCGAAGTCACGATAGCTCAAGTGGTAGAGTAGTGGCGTATCTAGCCGAAGGTCGTGGGTGCGAATCCCGCTCGTGACACTGACTTTTTTATCTCAACTTAAAACCTTAATTGATTGAAAACCAACTATCTTTTTGTAAAGATTGAACAACACCTCATTTCCATATCATCCAGTCCATTAATATTACTGCATAATTATGTCGCAGCATTTTCACATGTTTGGATGGTTTGGACAATCATAAAAAACAGGGTAATTTTGGCATTGATGATTGGTTGTTTGGAAAAATATACATGAGCAGGAACATTCTAGTTTAATATTAATGTACACTCAAGAGACGACAACAATTTATCAACATACCTCAAAAATGAATATACAAAATTAATTTATAGAAAAGTTTGGTGTTTAGTGACCGTTAGTCAATGATTATTTGGAGATCGTGAGATGCGGTCTGGTGTGACGTAGGTTTTAGAAAAACATTTTCTTTATCGTGCCAATGTTTTGATCTTTAGATATTTTTTTAGATAATCATCAATTAATGGTCACTAAATGCCACACATTTAAAAATAATGTTAAATGCAAATAACCACAAAGAGAATTTCCTGAACACATTTACACACAATGCAAAATAATAAAAAAAAATAAAAATAAAAATAAAATATAAAAGCTTATAATAAAATAAATTTAAATAATTACTTTGGTTAACTAGGGCCAACTAAAACTCATAAATTAATATAAAATGTATTGTAGCAAACAATTTATGTATATCTAAAAAATACTAGATTTTGTTTTGTCTAGTCATGATGATATTGTAATTAGTATTAGACCATCCGTTAGTTCCTGTGGATCTTCTGCACCCACCGTTGGAATTTTGTGTTCCGATAAAAGACAAGTTAATAGATTAAGGTTGAGATTTGTTAAGAATTTTAATAAAGGGAATTATGTACTAATTAATGTCTTTTTCTTTCAAGTTGAATGAGTTGTTTTGTTCTCGGGTAGCCTTGCTGAGTCTCTTGACAACTTTTATAAAAATTTTGAAATTGCTATTGATGAATTCTTCCCTAATACTGTTCAGAGTCATCTAAACATCCCCATTGGTTTGATAAATACTTAATTTCATTGATAAAAAAAAAGAAAAGGGCGCACAGAAGATATGCAGGCATTTAAGATTAAGTGATTTTCTAAATATAGAGAAAATTAAAAGTTAAGGATATCCACCTATGTTTATAATTTTGAGGTTGGTACTATCATTGATGACAAAAGGTTTTGGTCGTTTGTCAGTAGTAATTGAGGCAGTAGAGGCTATCCCTGTGAAATGTTCCATGATGTTAACAATTTTCGTCCCTATTCATGATTGATCATTCTTCCCTGTTCAAACATTTGATATATTGTTCCGGGTCTCATTTCGAGTTTAATTCTACTGAAATAGTGGATGTGTGGAGTGACCCATTTGAACTGCAATAAAATGAATAATAAATTATTATTCGGCCCTTGCGCTCATGTACAAAAATTTTAAAAATAATTTTAATTTTGGTACCAGATGATGAGAAAAGAATGAAATAAATCCAAAGATTGTATATCAGACGATGAAAGGTATCACCTGGTTTAGCATCATACAAATTATATAAATAAAATTAAAAAATTAGTAGATCGTCATAACATAGAGGCCTTAAATTAATCCTAATAAAGTCTTTGGTTGAACCCCACAGTTCGGTGCCGTACAACCAAATATCATCTTGTCATTATTATCATCTTGTAAATCAATCGTGAGAGTTTTGTAACGTCTGGTCAGTTTCTGCTTTTTTGTTTTGAGTGTAGATTCCATATAAGTAATTTATCAATGTACAGCCCAAGGTAGCAGATATGGTTAACTATAAGATATGTGATGTAGAATACAAAGAAAGTAATAAACGAAAAATCTTCATTTATTGGAAAATTGTCAACAATTTATGCCATTGTAATATTGTACATGTTTGTCCAACTTGAACAGTTTTGACAAGTTATACCAGTCTTAGATGTTATCTTATGTTGACAAACACAGATAACTAACTGAAACAATACCTCTAAAATTGTGTTATTTAAAATTTTATTTATTTAATTTTTCATTTTCCAGATCTAAACTGGATGTTCACACCGCCTTGTAAATGGAAGATGTATTATATGAATCATATGAGGATCATCAGAAACTGGAGAGAAGACAAATATAAGAGGCATGAAATCAATGGAAGATGGTTGGAGACGACCGCTTATGACGGACAGACTCTAGTAATTAACAATTTCGGTTTAGAAGTATATAAAATCGACAAGGGAAATCTTGTCCACATGCAAAAGCTAAAGTATAAAAAATATGATGCATACATGTGTGCCACGAATACAAAGTATATTGCAGTGAAATACCGCCCATTTGTTCTCGTCTATGTTCAAATTAATGATCGGTATAGGGTTTCACACATGCTATACAATCAAGGCACCGAGAAAAAACTTACATGTATCAAACATATGAAACAAATGGATAAAATGAACGATAGGTTTCCAATTTATCCGTACTGGTCCAATTTAATGTGCATTCTGGGTGATACACTGTTTGTTTACATGCCTCATATTAAGGTTTTTTACGCTTGGGATATGAAAAACATGAGATGCCTTATGGATGTAGAAGGTTCCATCAGCGACTTTCTCAACGATAAATCTAAAGTATACATTTGTAGTGATGATCTCATTAGTGTTTATGATGAAATGGGAAATCTTTGTTATGAAGTGAAACCCCATTGGCCAATAGGAAAAGTTCACATTAATTACAATATGATTTTAGCTGTGAAAAGCACACAAGATCACATGGAAGTGTGCGCTTGGGAAAAAGGGACTGGGAAGGAAATATTAGTGAAAACGATATCTGTCTCAGATGATTGTATTCTTCATCCGAGATTAGACATACTTCTTGATGTAGTGGACGCATGGCAATTAGAGCGAAAGGAGATTTATGCACTAGATTTAAAACATGACGTTACTCTGTGGAAAACTTTGATTGGTGAATATAGTCTTCTTGGGGATTTACACAGTATCGTTGCTGAAAGGTTTCTTCTTTTTTGTACTTATTCAAGGCATGTTTTTGACATCCATGATACAAAATCTGGTAATTATCTCTATTCTCTTTATGGCATAGATGATGATGATGTTTATGCTTCTTATGATATACTTATTTATGCCAACCATAAAAATGTGAAACTTATTGTTCATATTTATTCCTAAACAAAATTGAAATAATTAATATTTGTATGATATAAATACATATATTAATATAGTTAATTTATTTTAATACAAGCACACAAAGTAATGTAAGATGTTAAATAGTCTGTGATAATGTAATATATGTTTTTAAAATAAGTCAGTATTATCATTTATACAAGTGTTGGAGAGAGTTCTCAATAACAGAGTAACAAAGTGAAGTTAGGGAAAAAAATTATAGATTTTGATTGAATTATTACATATGAGATTAACATTTGGTTTTATTTGAACATGTTCATAATTGTATTCAGTGTTCTACATGTCCTCTTGTAAAAGGAGGGATGTCTCATGTTTTTTATTTTAATGATTTAATAACAGGGCAAAATATAAAACATAAATATAAACTTTTGATAGTACATTGGGCCAAATTACAGTGATCTGTACCATAATTATAATTTTTTTCATTTTTTATACATAACATTGTATGTAACAAAATGTAGGCATTTTTTTAGTGGTTTGTAATTTTTTTAAATATTTATAATGCACATGCTAAGAAATATTTAGCTTTGTTTAAGGAATGTTGTGAAATCAAAGTTAATCAATAAAATTAACAATCTTCCATCTTTTCTAATACAATTATGTTTTAATCATTAAGTCATCATAGTGTTTACATAGTCAATTATCCAATACTAGCACGATTCTGCCACCACCCTTCTGCCAAAGTGACTTCAGGTATTTCTTGAGTGTATTTTTATTTTAATAATGGGGATTTGTAAGAGTAGAACCCCTGGAGTTCTGGTGTTCGCCATTGAAAAAGCGTAAATAGCGAAAATATGTGGAAGTACTTTGTGTTGGAATTCAACGGTGCTGAGATTTGTCTGAACCTTCGAGTGTGTCAAGTGGTTGACACCAGCACCCTTGAAATGAAAGAGTTTTCATTATTGAATATTAATTTTTATCAATATCTTGTTCTATCAAATGTAACCTTATTACAGAAACTTTCTGCATAATCCATTACATTTTTTTCTTCAATATATTACATAGATAATTGTAGTGTAGAATGATAGATCTTGTCCAGTTCTACTAAGCAAAGCTTATAAATTTATTATGGTTGAAGCCATAGTTTCAATTATTATAAGTAGATGTTTAAGTGCTAACAGTTTAAATTCATTAGAAATTGTTTCAAAGTCCTGATGAAGGTGATATATTTTGTGAAACCTTGACTTGGAGGAAATGAGTGTTCTAATTTTTTTCTTTTAAATTGGCCTTATCCTTGATCTTTCAAATAATATAATCATATCACTATATTTTTTTACATATAGGTAATTTGCTGTCTGAAAATCCTTTGAACATTTCCGGTATATTCATATCTCCACCTTTTTTTCAAATTTGTCTTGTAGGCTGTATAACATTCAGTGCTTGAAGTGATGTTTTTTGTTTGGGAGAAGCTATTACTTAATTATTTTAAGTGTACTCCCACTTTTTTGTTGCAAAATTTGTCTTTATCGTTTTTTCTAATGAAAGTATTAATAATAGAAAGTTTTTCATTTTAATTGGAAAAGTGTGACTATTTGTGAAAATTAATTAGCCTTTTTTAAATGTTAAAAAGAACTAAAAAAATTGAGCTTTCAACTTATTCTAACATTATCAGGGCATGCATTTACTACATATTTAAAAACATTGATAAAATCTTCACTAATTAATTACAAACCTTACTATAGAAAGATTTGTAATAAACAGATAAAGATAAACATAATAAATAACAAGATAGAGCTGTTTTAATGTTTGTTTGTTCATTTTACATATTTATGATTATTTTTTTGACTGTTTTATTAATGTGTCATGACCCCCCCCCCATACACACAGCAACAGAGCTACCCTAGGCCAAACCAATCTTGATTCTAAAACCAATTGATTTGTTCAAAAAGGTACATTAACATCCGTAATAAATAAAATAATGAACACTGCAGAATTTTCTTCCCAAACTAAATTGTCTAAATCATGGGTCTGTGATTTTTCCCCATGTATCATAAAATCTACCTTTTCATTTTTCATCAAAATTTTGAAGCTAGCAATTAAGCCATTAAATGGCAGTTTAATAAAAATAAAAAGACAACCAATTGGACAGGCAGATTACCATTAAAGACCTTGGAATCGCCTACTCTAACAACCCGACATTTAACTTGCATTGCTCCTCAATAGTTAATAAGGCACATCAAATTATAAGTTTCTTACAAAGAATTACAAAAAAAATTAGGGACACAGAAACAATGATTATCCTGTTTAAGGCTAAGGTACATCCCATTTTAGAAAACTGTTCAGTAGTTTGGTCACCACTTCAGAAAATTCGAAGGAATTCTTTAGAAAATGTACAGAGATAATTTATTCGCGCTTTATGGTTTAAAATTACCAGAATATACTTGGATACAATCATACAAACTTATTATGGAATCTGCAGAACTACAACTGCTAAACATAAGACGACAAAATAATGACCTGATAATTTTCTTACAAACTTTTAAATTATATGATCGACTGCCCACAGTTAATTCGCTAAATTTCGATACCCCACAGTGTTATACCAGACAAAAAATATTATTTTCGAAATCTAATTATAACACAAATTATTTCAAATTTAGACCGATTCCCTCGAATCAAGGAAATGAGTAATAAACTTCCTTTACATTGTAACACTTTTTGCCTTTACTTATTTAAATTTAATTTAAACATTTTTTAAAAAATACTGATCATGGCAAATTGTGTTTGATTTGTTTATATATTTCTGTTGTTTTCATTGAATTTTTATCTTTCCTTGTCTCTTTCTTTATATGTGTTTAAATATTTCTGTTTTCATAAATTTTTATCATTCCTTGTCTCTTCCTTTATATTTGTTTATGTATTTCTGTTGTTTAATTAAATTTTTATCATTTCTTGTCACTTTCTTTATATTTGTTTATATATTTCTGTTGTGTAATTAAATTTTTATCATTCCTTGACACCTTTTTATTTGTTTATATATTTCTTGTTTAATTAAATTTTTATTATTCCTTTCCTTGCCACTTCCTTTATATTTGTTTATATATTTCTCTTGTTTAATTACATTTTTATCATTCCTTGTCACTTCTTTTATATTTGTATACACTTGATACTTACAATGTATTATTGTGTTTGTTATGTTAAATATATTTTTAATTATTGTATATACATTATTATTTATGTTTCAATTATTCGTTATTACTTATGTATAGTTTAAACTCTTATAGAATTTGGAACTGGGTAAATGTGCTTACTCGTATAAACAAATAAATATCTATGATTGTCCAGGCGGTGGCGCTTCCTTAGCCAGTACATCCGCTTTTTCATTTCCCTCAATTTATGAATGTTGAAAATAAACAATATGTAAGTCAATGTTTGTAACACATTAATTTGATAAATTGTTTACTTTCTTGCAATATGCCTCGCAATGCACAACGAAAAAAGGAACAAATGTACGAACAACAAATTATTAAAGGCTCAAAAATTAAGTGGGGTCATTATACATCAATTATAGTGAATAAATAATTATCGTCACAACAAAGATGATAAAAATGTATACCAATTAAAAAAAGATTAAATGCAACGTCCAAATTAATAATATTTACGTTTTTGAGTCTTGTATAGTTGACTATGGTAATCTAAGAATGCGCTACGGTGGTAATTCGTGTTATCAGATATCAGTGGAACCTACTTTTTTCACATTTAACTTCACTCCCAAATTGACCATTGTGGAGTCGAGACGGTAAAAAATTTCAGTTCATGTCTCGGTAAAGTTTTCTGAGAAAAAAACCTTAAAATAAAGCCTGTCGAAATCGGGGAGCGCCGAAGATGGACCAACAGACGCCGGTAAGGAAAAGATTTCGCCGAGAAGCTTACCAACGGCACAACTTGACTTTTTTTTATTTACCCCTAAAGTCATTCTTTTCTTTTTGTGTCAATTAGTTCAGATATTCGAAAGAAGAACTCCGCGTTTTATCCGAATGCAACAAAGAGTCTTTCTACAGCAGGTGCCTCCCGTTCAGCACGATTCTCGGAGTCACGACTTACTATGCTGTTAAAACGGGTAAGACAATGGAACCAATTGCTTTAATTTAAACCGTATCCAATAATAAACCGACACTTGCCACTGTTAATTTTGAAAATTTGTCAACGATAGGTAAATATTTTTATTTACAGCGTTCCCTGAAGATAAACGCAGGATTTTACTTGATAGTTTTTCATCCTGAGATGTTTGTTATCATTTAGAGCAGTGGTTCCCAAACTTTTTTTGGAACATGGACCCCTTTTTATAGTCAAAAATTGCCCACGGACCCCCAAGGGAAAAAGCCACATAAATGCATAATATAAAAATTACAAATTAAAAAAAAATTGTTGAAGATGTATTTATTGAAAATATAAATTATAATATTAATTACTTTTGTTTAAAATAAAGTATAAAAAAATTAATGACGGATGAACATGATGAGATGTTATGAGTGTATATATGTCCGGTTCAATGTTTGTGAGTAGCAACCACAAATCCACACGATCACTAATTTCTATTTTTTGAATTTTTTTTGTGATGAGGTTCTTAACGGCACTGAATCCTCGTTCTACCAAATAGGAAGATGGGAAAACAGTCAATAACTTCTGTACAAAACCCAAAATGCAGGATATAAAATTGGGATCCGTTTTTGTAACCAGAATTTGTGGTTACCTTGTTCAAACATTGGTTTAAGTTACTCATTTGTGGATATTTCAATAAGCTGCTCCTGTATTAGTATGGATTCATCTGTGTTTGGGATCTGAGTTTGTCCACGCGCAAAAGGGTTCAACACCAGTCGGGAAATGAAGAATGTCTTCAAATCTTTGGTTCAGGTCTGTATGAAGAGCCGTTAAGTGTGACAGTAAGCAAGCAAATCTTCATCTCTAATTTGCAATTTCAAAAGATTTGGAAACTGAGAGCATTCTCCTCTTCCCAAGTTTTGTTTGTATAGAAAAAGTTATGCAACAAACGCAGATATTACACTTTTAGTTTTGATTAAATTCAATTGGTCACCTTGTAGTTTCAAATTAGTTTCGTTAAATTTGGCAAATAAATCAGACATATAGGCTATGTCATTTTTTGAGTTAATAAAATTGTGTCGCAAATCATTGTCTTTGCTTTCCAGGAATTCCAACACATAAAATTGATTTAAACATGCTCTTTTAGATAACAAACGTACTTCTGTTTTATATTATATCATTTTATATTATTATTTATATTATATTATTTTATATTAAACCTTGCACGGACCCCCTGACGTTCAGAGACCCCCAAATCAGTTTAGGGACTTTGTTGAGATAACGTTTTCTTTATAGTGCCAACGTTTCAATCTTTATTGAGATCATCTTCAGGACCTGATATTTATAAACATTGTTTCAATTTTACAAATACATGTAGGATGTGGAAAAAAATTGTACAGTGCTAGAAAAGTTTATATTAAAAAAAAAAAAAATTGAATTTATACAATGCTAGAAAATTTTAGATTCAATCAAAGTATTTGGACTCACTCAAAGTGTTTGTTTTACATGTAGATGTGCCATTCTTGTCTGTTGTGTTGAGAGTTCCAGTGAGATATTGATGTTTTATGCTTGTGTGCCTCAAAAAAACATGTTGAATTTTGAAAGGATGGTGAGGGAAGTCAGGAATAGAAAGACATTTTTATATGAGTCGGCTTCTTTGAGGTGAAAGGAGCCGACAAATAATCGTCAAGTAACAGTCACTAAACACCACACACACCCGTGCGTGCGTGCGTGCGCACAAATACTTAATTTGTTTGCCTTTATTGTATTATTATTTTTTAATATTTATTAATTTTTTGGCTCAACTTTACCCCGATAGTTTTATCTGAAGAGTAATTGTGTCCTGATTCAAAATGTCGTGATAAATAAAGAAGTTTGCTGTAAAATGTTATAAATAAAAAAAAGACTGATAAAATAGTTGCGTAGAGTTAAAAGAAAACCCAACACCTCCACTATTACCTATGACAACAACCAACAAATATTAAAATTCTTTGTATTGTAATTATGTAAATTGTTGTGCTACTGTGTAGTCAGTTTTATAATAATTATTAAACAGTACAGTATGTACACAGCATGAAATGATTAGTTTGATTCATTCTGGTCTGACAAAACCAGTGACAAGATGATCCAGGATGATTAGAGATCAAGCTACTTCACAACTTCAGCGCAATATTTCACAATAAAATAGTTTGTTGTGCGACAAACGCCTGTGATATTTATGTACCAAAAGAATATTAATTGTTAAGTAATTGTTACTGGTTTTAAAAAATGCCTATATATGTAAGAGGCTGTTAAGAAGAGGTTTTTATTTATTTATTTATTATATATGTATATAGTTTGTTTGTATACATATCGTGTAATGTGCAATGTGTTTAAGTTTTTGACTTTGTATCTGTAAGTAACAAAAAACTGACATTTTATAACTATTTATACAATTTATAACTATCTAAACAATTTATAACTATCTAAATGATTATGTCCCTATGTCTCTGTAGATCCCCTGAAGAAAGCAATAAAACTTGTCGAAAGCTTGGGCGTTGATATAATAACATTGTATGTTTGAAGACCACAACCCGAATCCCAATCAACATCGTAATAAAATAGTTGTATGAACAAAAAGTGCTCCCTCTTACATCTCATAAACCAATAAAATTTAATTTAATAGGATCGTTAAAACATTCTGACATGTTTTTTTTTCATAGGTGTAATTAAAGATTATTTGGAGGTTGTAAGATGTGGTCTGGTGTGATGTAGGTTTTAGAAAAACATTTTCTTCATTGTGCCAATGTTTCGATCTTTATTGAGATCATCTTTGGGGCTTAGTGTATGTTTTCTGTGTAGATGTGTCGTTCTTGTCTGTCGTGCTGAGAGTGGTGTAATTAAACCTAATAAGTACCTGATGTACACTCAGCACACTTCTGTGGCAATGAGCAGGGAAGTGGGAATGAAAAGGTGTACGGCACGTATGTAAACAGTCATTCATGCTGACCTTGCTCCTTTGACTGCCGTTGCCCGGTACTCCCCATGTTGGCAGTTTTTCATCTTTCAGAAGTCAAAGACAGACAGCATGACTGGAAGGGAGTGCTTACCATCTCCCTATATAATAATGATAATATGCTTTATTAATATTAATAAAAGAACAAAGTACTCTCACTTGATATATTACTCAAGATGGTTTGTAGCAATGATCGAGCCCTGTTTGGAATATCTTGTGTACGAGCAAAATTTTATGGGATCCTAAGGATAAAAATCATAAATTCCAGCACAAATTGCATACAGTCCGAACAAGGATAAGTGTAAACATAGCCAATATTTTGATGTGACTTAAAACCACCCAACCGAGTCACTCATAGCTACATTTAGGCCTTGGTTAAAGAAAAAAAGGCCTCGGTTAGGTTCAGTATTGAAGTGTTGTCAACGTCCTTCATTGCCCGAGGTTGAAGGGGAAAGTGGGAATGGGAAGTAGTGTGAGAGATGTAAACTCTCACTGTCTTTGGTGCTCAACTATTTTGAGGAATAAATATGGCAGTATGAGGAACAGTGGCAATAGCTGAATGTAAATAAGGCATCACAGTAATACTTAAGAACTTTCCATACAGAACAAGCTGTTGTTTTTGTTCTCTTTTTAACAAATTTTATTTACTCATTACTAATAAAGCATGTCAGTATTCAATAAATTGCTTCTACTTAAGCTGATAATAATTGTACAATTTATGGGTTATATTTTTCTCCTTTTCTTATTTTATCTTCTTATATTATCATTGTTTCAGGTAAACTCAATCCGAGTATTAAATTTGGCGCTACTCCTAAAGTGTTTGGAGCAGTTGTCATCGGTTATCTTTTAGGCAAAATATCTTATCAGAGGGTTTGTGTTGAAAAGTTGATGGCTTTACCAGACAGTAAATTAGGATCCATACTTAGAAGTAAATATGCTGGCAAGAAAGCGTAAGTAAATTATGTATGCTTCTATTGTTAAATTATGCCTAAAATTATTTTTTCTAATTATTTTAGGCTTACTATGGATATTCCGGAATCGGATAAAATTATTATCGGAATGAAAGAAGATGATAAATATGATGATGTGAGAAAAACTTCCCACATGGACATTGATACAGACCGGCCACACTTCGCAAACCTCGATGATACTTATAGAGCACCTGTAGACCGTAAATGTTTATATTTATTTTACTTTGGTTATTTAGATTTATTAGTTTATTTTACAAGAGTCGTTATTTATTCTATTTTATCCTTCTCTCACATTAATACAAGTTATAAAAATACTACCTATAACAATTTATATTTGGTAGTAGCCTAAGTATTAATTTTTGCATGAATAAATCAGTATTTTTTTAAATTTGTTTTAGCATTCAGCTCTCCAGAATTGAAAGAAGAACCATTACCAAAATATCCGCCAACTACATATGAAGAATTGAGGAGAAGGAATAGAGAAGATTATGAAAAGAATAGAACTAAACCTTATCGGTACTTATTGCATTGTTATAATAATTTATCTAATATTTATTATTATATAATAATTTTAGATTAATTTATATCTTAGTTCTTTTACTAAAGTATGTGGTTTTATATATGTGATTAGTAGACATGCATTTTGTGAATTTTTTTTGATATTTTGATTATAAATATGTTGGTTTTCATAACAATGCAGGAATAATTCGTTTAACTTTTTTTTTAGTGGAGTTTTGGTTCCTGATGAAATTCCTTCAGCTGTGAAACAAAATGAAATTGGGTCTAAAGCAGACAGTTGGTTTGATCCACCATCCAAACCAAACAAAAAACCAACAAATATTTATGGGGATTCTTGGGATAAATAAATAACTTTGAATAGTTACAAATGTATATATATATATATATGTATACCTTAAGTTGTTTTTTTCTTTTTTCTTTTTGTGTTTAGAATTTTCAGTAGGTTCACAATAAACTGCGTGCTTGTCTACAAGTCAAGTTATTTAAAATAAACCTTCAAAGACATACAAAAATAATATCTACATTTGTCATGAAGATTAGTTCATATTTATTTATTTACGGATCGATATACAAAGTGGGAGGTTTATGGGCCAACAAACAGCTGAGGTCATCGCTGGCCCTTTGTTTTCCTTTTTTTCTGGTCTTCCACTTGTATTTTGTTTTAAACTGCATCCGTTTGAACATCTCTATCTGGTTACTGACTTTCTGCTCTTATATGTATACTACGCCGATATCCTAAAATGCCTCTCGTTTGTACCTCAGGTTGTCAACTACAGAATAGACATAAAACATGCAATACATAGGGTGGGCCCAAACTCAAGTTACTTTGAGGATTTATAGGAAAAATTTTGTGTTGAACAAAAAGTGTGTATAAACATAGGTCATCAAATGAAGCCTTCTATGTGAAAAACCTCTTAAAACTGTGTTTTTCAGCTTTTTTTTTTTCAAGAACTACTCCCAAATGGCTCCATGTCTCAAAATATGCATCGAAAAAACATAGTCGAGCATTAAATTTTGAGTAGAATGAGACCAACTGCACATGTTTATCTTAATCCATTGCCAAGATATGACTTTGATATAATAACCACTTTTTTCAAGAAAAAAACACTTAAACATTTTTTTTCAGTGTTAACACTTCAAAATAAACTATAGGAAATTGAATTCTATGTAAAATGAGACTTCATAGGCACTAGTAGTAAATGAAAGAAGGAAGACGAAAATGAAAGAAGCAAGAACATCCATGAGCCATTGCAGCTGAAGTGAATCATGGGAACGACATTAGTATTAACTCAGCTTTCTGTGAAATGCCTTGACTATATATGAATGAGGAGTACGAGGACATTCACTTAGTGAATGGAATGGCTAATGCTGAGGCAGATGCTAGGATGTATACTGAGAATTATCCTATACATCGTAAACCACACCTCTCTGTATTTGCCAACCACCATCGGAATTTGTGGGAATACGGCTCTTTTTCAAGAGAATGTGGGACGGCTTAGTATGAAGTGCAGAATGATTAGAAGCGGTTGATGCTTCATTTCATTGAGGACTGGACTTGAATTCATAGCATCAACATTCATACTACACACCGGTCTTCCTTCTTTCAAGCGATTTACTAACAAGTCATACCTTTGAAAATTGGCAAGAAAATATAGCTCCAGTGAGGTGGCATTGGTCTCACTTTACGTAGAATTTAATTTCCTACAACCTTTATTTTGAAGTTTTAACACTGAATAAAGGTCGAAACGTTGGCAATAAATGAAAAAAAAGGGTATTTTTCGAGACTATCTCATTCTTGATCCTACCTCATGTCTTCAACAAAAAAAGTTTTGTTTTTTCTCAAAAAAGTGGCTATTATATCAAAAAGTCATATCTCGGCCATGGATTAAGATAAAAACTATGTTGGTCAAAATTTAATGCTCGACTAGGTTTTTTTTTGGTACATATTTTGAGACATGGAAACATTTGAGAGTAGTTCTTGAACAAAAGCTAGTAGTGCTAGATAGTAAAGTGTTTTTTCCACTTTTAATGGTATTTTTTGGTTCTGATAAGTATGATTTTGCCATTCTATACAAATTATAAGAAAGACTAGTGGTGAACGTAAGGAGTTAGATCCTAGAGTTACTAAAATAAAATAAATATGTACTGTACTTCAATACTTATTTTGTTTATTGAAACAAATTAATGAAATTATAAATTATAATTATACAAAAATATCTAGTTAAGCCCAATCAACGACGGATTAATAAAAAAAAAAAAAAAAAAAAAAATATAGAAACCTTATACCAATCTTTAATAATTTTTTTTTAATACTTAAAAAGAGATAATTATTTTGTATTCTCTTAACTTCTTATAAATATTTTATTTATATTTAATTATATTTGTGAAGTATGATTATTCAGAAATCATGAGATGCGGTCTGGTGTGATGTAGGTTTCAGAAAAACATTTTCTTTATCGTGCCAACGTTTCGGGCTTTATTGAGATCATTTTCAGGGCCAGGGATTTACAAACATTGTTTAAATTTAACAAATACATGTAGGATGTGGAAAAAAGTGAATTTATACAATGCAACAAAATATTTTTTTTTATATTCAATCAAAGTATTTCTACTCACTCAAAGTGTTTGATTTCTGCGTAATTGTGCCATTCTGACTGAGTATAAATACTTTGATTGAATATAAAAAAATATTTTTTTGCATTGTATAAATTCACTTTTTTCCACATCCTACATGTTTTTGTTAAATTTAAACAATGTTTGTAAATCCCAGGCCCTGAAGATGATCTCAATAAAGATCGGAACGTTGGCACTAAAAAGAAAATGTTTTTCTGAAACCTACATCACACCAGATCGCATCTGATGATTTCTGAATAATCATCGACTAATGGTCATTAATCACCACATATTTGTGAAGTTTGAACTAAATTTGTTTGACAAGTTAATGTACAGCTTAAATTATTCACTTACTGCTGTGTTCTACAATCCATGCACTAGCTAGACCCTTCTTGACTGATTGTTTTCATTGGCTGCCTTCTCATTTATATTTGTTTTTCCCCCCAATGTTTTATTACAAGCTGTAGTCTCCAGTTACAACATGTAATTTACTTATTACTTATATATATTATGCAGGGTGGGCGACCAAGACCTGAGGGGTTAAATGCTTGCTCCTACCTGCCTGGGTAAACTCGTACCCCATCCCTAAAAGGTCCGGGACTTGGTCGGCTCATGTGCCCTACATAAATCTCTTGGACCTGTTCACAAACCCCAAGATTTTGCACCATTTAATCTCAAGGAGTGATTTGGTGATGTCCTCTCCTTCAAAAGTTTTGAATCTAGACCTAGCGAACCTATCACACTGCGAGGTAGTGCCTTGCCATTTCTTCTTTTATTTCGCAAAAACGGCAAAAGGGATCTGGTAGAATATCCATTACGAAGAGGTGCCTTCTCAGTGGGCATTACTTATTACTTATTAAAACCTATAGTTATTTACGACTATTTATATGCTGCAGCAAATAATCACTATTAATCTCCCACTGCATTTCACTAATGAAACAACTACCTTCTCCTCAGAAAGGAATTTGTGGCTCCATTTATTTTTAAGAGCCCTTATTGGATTGAAGTAATGGGTTCTATTGGACAAGGCTTGGGCAAGACTATTGGGGTGATGGGAGAAATTATTGTGGATATGTGTATCAGAGGAAAGCCACGTCTTCAGCAAAAAATGCAAGGAGGGTGGTAGGATCATTGCAGTAAAAAGGATATATGGCCTGTGAGCAGTATTTGGAGTAATCTGATCCTTGTTGGATCCAAGAGAACCGCTCTATTAGATATGAGTGAAGGCTTAAGTAGAGGGTATGGTCAAACACTTGTTCTACATCAAAAAAAGGCTTCCAATTCTTTGCCCTAAAGGGAGTATGATATGTTCTACAATGCAAATCCCTTGCTATTCAATATAACAAAGCACAAGATCTTTATTTAAACTTACTGAAAATTATTTTCTGAATTTTATAAAGGTGAAAGCTTTTCAGGTAGTTGGTCAATGTATTTAATCCCATACCTGGAGGACAATGTACTTTGATTTTGGCTTCCAAAAGAGCTCAGTTGCTTTTATCATAGCTTCTGAACATGAGCTGCTCTCAGTTTTATAATTAAAGGTAATTTCTAGTATTTTGGGACAATCAAAGGAAGCATAGTAGTTTTATTTAGTGGTGGTGATGATATCATATTTTCTACTGAATATTTAAATAAGCCTGCCTATCCAACAAGACCAGACCGTCCACACCATTGAACCTGTTGCCTCATTCCTGGATCGATAAATTTAAAGATTGCTATATCTTAGCATCTACACCTTGCTGACACTTTGTTTAAGTTATGGACTGATTTAGTAGACTAGTATAATTACAATAAACTTACCAAAGAAACAATTGTGCTTGGATATGTCAAATTTAGATTTTAAAAAAAGTTTAGTGTTTGATGAAATTAATGGGCATGCTCACTCTTTAAAATCATATTTTTCTGTACTAATGTGTGGTGTTTAGTTAGTCAATTTGGAGATCGTGAGATGCAGTCTGGTGTGACTTTGGTTTTGTGTGGAGTATAAATACTTTGATTGAATATAAAAAAATATTTTTTTGCATTGTATAAATTCACTTTTTTCCACATCCTACATGTTTTTGTTAAATTTAAACAATGTTTGCAAATCCCAGGCTCTGAAGATGATCTCAATAAAGATCGAAACGTTGGCACGATAAAGAAAATGTTTTTCTTAAACCTACATCACACCAGACCTCATCTCACGATGTCCGAATAATCTTTGTTTGTACTGATGCATACTGAAGATTATTGCATAGTAGGGTGACCAATCAAGTTTTAATTGAAAAAAAAAAAAATATATATATATAATCAATTATATAAAAAATAAATTATTTCTGCTTTAGAGTAGTTGTATTGTGTAACATTCACATTTTCAATATAGAAATTGTAAGCTAGTTGATGTGTTTACAGTTATTATCACTGTTGTAAAATAAAAGCATATGAACGAAATATACGCTAATTTTGAGACAAAATTTCGTCACTCATGTTGAATCATCGATGATGGAAGTTTTAAATCATACATCACAAAACACAAGGACAGAGGAAATTATTCTCGTAGCATACAATTTACATCAATCGTTTGTTAAAACCTGAAAAGACGAGCACAACAAAGCGATTATCGCTTATGAATGATTTCTTAGATAAAAGTCGAACCTGGGCCAAGGATTTACATTGAACACCAAACTGAAGGTCGAAACGTAAAAAACTTAACGACGACTAATTTAAACAAATCTTACAATTGTACTTACACTTCAGAGTTTTAAGATGATCTCCCCTTAGGGATTAGTTCAATTTTTTTGGAATTCCACGGTCTTCCGTTTGTGTGAGTAGGTCAAATGAATCATATGTATCCCCATCAAGCATTCCTTGTAGCTCCTT